GATCAGCGTTAGCATCAGCCACAGTGACTCGCAGGCTGTTGCTGTTGCGGTCTCGCAGTTTTAGAGCGTCGTGCATTTTCTTTTTCTGTTCGCATATAGATCCCAGAGACTACATTTTCTCTTGGGTTGAGACGTAATGATTGTGATTTATGTTTTTAGATTCCGAGCCAGCTTCGTCTCCTGGTTCGTTGTGTTTATAATGGGAGTGATGACATTTATTAAGTCTTTTTATTTTAAATCATCCGAGTGTATGTTCTCTCGACCTCCGATATTATCTTTTTCAAAGAAAAAAAGAGCTCCATCACGTATACAATGTAAAATCCACGGTTCCATCGTCCACACAAGACCCTTTCCCTGTGTACTTATATCGCAGTAGGATGTAGATGTCAACTCCTTATGGCACCAGTCTGGTTCTGTTCGTCACCGAATATCTCGTATGGGATCGAACGACCTCTTCTGTGGTTACCCTTTGCATATCCCGCCTGTGGTCAACCCAAATCGACGTTGGTGTTACGGTTGATGTGGTGCACAGATTTGACACGAGTTTGAAATTTGTGGCTTGGGTGGAAACAGACCGTCTCAGAGACCTTTCAACCTTTGTGTGTCCGGGGTTGTTGGTGTGTATTTTGGCGTCGGAACAATCAGAGTCGGAGTCACCATCAGTGACATAGAGGGCCGCTACTATCCACCGCATCAACTTTGTGTGTGAGGATTTGGTGTTTCAAATATGATAGGCTCACCAGAAAATGTACTTTTCCGCCACAGGTGGTGGAATGTTCCTAAAACACAGGTATTTCACCACCTGTGTGGTTCTATTGTGCGCTTTCACGATTGTGTGGACAGCCGTGGCCGATGAACAGCAATGCCTCGAAAGACTCGAGGTCTATCATTTTTGAGACAGTCCGACATATCTGCATGCCGGGTCTCGGTGGTCGTGATGGGATTTTCCGATAAAGAATCCACCTAAGCATAAAGTGTCCATAGCTCTGGCAAGCTTTCGTCCGAAACTAGTCGTAGTATGTTCACGGCGAAATATCGCGATACTCTGCGATTATATTCATGCCATTCAAGCAATCATTTCGAGGATGAGAATATCTAAGACAACCTCGTGAGGGGATGAGAGGCGACCCATGAAAAATCCAGAAAGTTGGTTACTGGGTGTGATACCATGTCGTGGATACATATTGTTAAAGATCAAAGTGACCAATCTTGTAATCGTAGGCATGGACCATCGCAACCGTGAACTGGGCTTCGATGTCACGTAAAGAGCGTGCGACAACGGGACCATGGGGCCAGGTGGGTATGAAATCCATTATTGACAGATTGATTTCGTTAGGGTGAGAGGGCTCGAGGGCGAGGAAAGATGTCATGGATCCAACTCCAAGTCTGGCGAAAACATCGGACTTCCGCGCTTTTGCTTCGAGTGGGCCTTGGTGACGGTATCTTGAGTTGAGATGGTAGGTTGATACGCGGGAAGAAAGTGAAAGGAAGAGAGGAAGGTGGAAGAGGAAGGTGGAAGCAACTGCCCAGTACAAGGAGAAAGTACGTCATTCAAGGGTTCTACCTACACAACCTTAAACACGTAAAAGGTTTGGTATCCTGCGGCAACCACGGGTCCTCCCGGCCCGGATATCAGGAGTTCAGGAGTACGTACCTAGGTCGGTACTCTGTTGTTCAAAGGAAGTAAGATAGCTGGTAAAAGAGACCCGGTACCCGACTATGTTATACATAGGTCATATCGCCCTGGAATCTCCTATTCTTCAATCTATACATCAACCAGGGGATTGATAATCCGTAGTCATTTGTGCCAGTTGCTTCTGTTTCTTCTCCTGGTTGCTCCCAAGCAAAGAGCCATCTGTTGTAATGGTTCTTCATTTTAGTCACTATGTAGATGCATCGATTGTGGATAGGGATCCGAGACTAGTAAGAATTTCATTGGGACATATGTAAAAGAAGGTTGCCCATAGTAAAGATATTAGGTAGGTACTCTTTATGAACAGTTATGAACAACCATGATAGACCGCCTACGTAGGATATTCATAGTTAAAGCATTCCTAGTCACAGGATGCCTGCTGGACAGCGACTGGCAGATAGGACATAAAAGTAAAAAACATGGAAAAGTATTCGAAATGATTTTGACTTGGAATTACCTTGTGCATACCTCAGTTCCCCTTCCAGGGACCTGGTCGCAGCATCCGATCCTCTTTTCCATAAACACTGACATCCTTGACAATGGCAATGAATCTCCGGTGGTTCTCCTTGGATTCACCAATACGAGGACGGAAGACCTTCAAGAGGTCGCTGCTGAGGATGCCAGATGCTGGGATGGCGGCATGGATTTCTCCGGCCGTCGGGAACGTCTGGGTTCCAGAAACTGGAGTCGACACACGATGACCTGTAGATGGTTAGTTTGTTTCTTATATCAAAAACAGATTTTGCTCGGCACTCACCTCTGGGGCCGTCGGGACTGTTGGCACGGCTTCCGGGGAGTCGAGGCAAAGGACTTGCGGCGCGGGACCCTTGCGGAGTACCACCACGAGAAACCGAGGGGTTAAGCTTCAGTTTCTTGATCTTGCCACCCTCGGTCAGTTCAGCTCCAGACCCGGCACCAGTGTCGACATCACTGCCAGATCCAGCGCCGCCAGCAATGTTTCGCACGCGTTTCTTCCCCTAAACAAATCAATATATATTGGTCAAAGGAGAATGATTATACATACCTGCAAAGCGGATGGAGAGATCGGACGCGATGGGGGTTGAGACGCAGGGAGATGCATGCCCTTGGCCTTCTTTCGAGATGTATCGGTGCCGCTCGCATCGGAAGCGTTTGGCGATCCAAGCCTTTTCCGAGATCCAGCAGCCCCAGCTTTCTTCAGGGGGTCTGTATGCTTGGGTCGGCCGGAGGGAGTATTTGTTCCCTTGGAGAGCGCTTCTTTTTGGTTCTTTTCTTCCTCTGCCTTCTTGCGTTCCTCCTCCTTGGCCCGTTCGGTTTCGCTGTCGTCGGAGCTCTGTACAAATTAGTTTTAGGTTTGCGGTCAAAGATGGGTGAAACTTTACCTCCTCATCCGTGTAAGGATTGACGTCCGAACCACTGCTGTAATCAAAGTTCCGTTCTCTCCTCTTCAGGGCCTTGCGCACACCCTTGCCCAACACACGCCGGGCCTCTCGTTCACGTCTCTCTCGCATTTCTTCAGCGTCATACTCCTTCTCGTCTTTGAGATCGAACACATTCGCCTTGAGCTGGTCCTCTTTGATTCTCTTTTCGGCATCCTTCGCATCTTCATCCTCATTGAAGAGGTCATCATGCTCTTCGTCATCGGCAAATCGATCCTCTTCGAAATCCATTTCACCAGCTTCCAATCCCTCACCCTTTCCGATATTTGTGCCCTGTTTTCCAGCGTAGACTTTGCGCTGCTTGGCGTATGTTTCCAACTCTTTCTCTTCCTGCAACTGCTGCTGCTTTTCCATGAACCATCGAGGGTCTTTCACCCTCTTGGCCATGAATTTCTCTGCCTCGTCAATGGTCAAAGCCTTGAAGTTACTCTTGGCATTGAACTTGTACCACTTTTCAGCCGGAATCATTCTCATCTTTCCGTTGTCGAGGACAAAGACTGCATGTGTTTCAGACAGAGCTGCTTCATAGTTTCCAACCCAAGTGTGTCGGTTGTCAAAATCCTCTAGGTGCCACGGCAAGGCCTCTTCGTACTTGATCCGTGCTCGTGCAATCTCTTCAGGGGTCATATCCGACTTGAAAACCTGCTGCGTCTTCTGCTTCGGGGCATTTGGTCGTTTCGATGTAGAGCCGAGGGCGGGAGCGATTTGGGAAAGGTTCTCAGCGCGCTCTTTTTCGCGCGCTGCCTTACGAGCATCAAAGGCTTCGCGTTCAGCTTCATCCATTGGTTGGCCATCGATCTCGGACCTTCCCGAGTTTGGATCATGAGTTCGTGAACGTGGGTCGCGGCGGTGAAGTCGGACTGGTCGAGTAAATTGCGATTCGTCTCGTGGGTCGACGCTTTTCTTCGAGGCAAATCGCGCGATGTGGTGCTTCAGTCCCTCCATCAGAGCTCGCTTTGTCGTCACCACCGGATAATCAACGTATTTATCACTGAGCAAAGGACCGCTGAACCCATTCGATGACATGTTGTTGTTTGAAAGCTCAAGCATAGGTCGCTCGGACGGAAGGATTGCCTGGGGTTGGGACGGCCTTGAGGGAAGTGTCTTGGTGGCTGTTCCATTGCCGGGAGTGGCGCCAGCTGGTCTGGGGGCAGGCCTTCTCTTCGGTCGAACCAAAGGATCAGCCGCTTTAGGACGACGCATCCTCATTAGCGGCGCACCATTTGGCCCAGTTGGGGTGCGAGCATTCGAAGGATTTGTTGGAGTCGACATGTTGCCGATGTGCAAAACAGAGTTGTACGAGTGGTAGAAGGCGACGCGACGGATCCCACTAGGACTAGAAATGCAGAATAAATGTAACCCTTTGCCTCTCTCGGAGTGCGAAAAGACGGGCAGGTTCAAAAAAGAGTGAGGGATGGGTAAGCCACTTTGAAAGAGCTGGAGACAGCGACCCGGACGTATGACGGTAGACCACGGAGCAAATGTTTACCCGTCCCGCTGACACAGCACGTGACTCGGGCAGATCTCCGGGCTGTATGGTCTGTGCACACTGAGGCTCTTCCGAGGTTTTACTCAAAGATCACCTCTATAGCACATGAGCTTCAACCGCTGGCCTCATAGTCATAATTACAATCGAGGCAAATAAAATCCAAAAAATTACGAATATATCGACCTATAATAGTTCATGCGAACTGTAAAACCTATAATATTCTACTAAGCCCACTATATTTTCAGATAATCAAAATCCCAAGTCGTCAAGAACAGAGGCGGCATAACGGGCGGCCGACTATTCTTGCATTTCTATTTGGATAGGCACTAGATGTAGTGTCTTTATTGGTAGCATTTGTATCATTTCAATGGGTTTTCAATTTTTTCAATTGATGTAAAATCTACTGACCGAATCGTTGACCTGGTTCCAGTGGTTTGTATGGACAAGCAATCCAATCACAGCCCTTGACACAGTTAGTGGATATCAAACAATCAGAAGACCAAGAACTTACTTGTTTATAGATCTCCGTCCCCCACCATTTGAAACCATCGACCCAACCTGGGTAAATGAAGGCGAAAAAGACAACGACCACTGCAAATGCCAAACCAGAATCCAATGCGGCCGACAGGGTCATTGCATATTTCTCCCACCATGCGGTCCTCCTTCGGCGGATCACATAGTTGAATACGAAACAAACAAGGGCCCAGATGGAAAAGTTGAGCCCGGTTGCAGGTGGTATCCAGCTCAGACTGCCAAACAAGATAGGGAAGTTGACCATACGCCAGAAGCTCTTCTTGCTGTGTCTCCCTAGAAGCCATGCTCCGAGAGGGGCGACGGCTCCCACCAAAAAGGCCCAGACAAGCGGACGATATAGCCCTCCTGGGCCAAAGAAGCGCTGGGGGCCAACAACTCCCCAGAGAATGCTACCGTTAAAATGGACCCGAGCAATGGGGCAATTGAAACCATTGATAGCTTCCGGGGTGCAGAGTCCCGGGACGAAAGTGAACATCCAGTTCAGCACACCGATTTGGGTCAGACTTGAGGCTAAAGTCGCCATCATCTGGACGCTAAATAGAATTCGTGGTGGGATCTTCATGTAATGGCCAAGTTTGAGGTCCGAGGAAAATTTGATCCCTTGTGCAGAGCTGATATATGAGTAGGTCACGAAAATCATGTTCGCTACAGGCCTTCCCGGGAATACAATACCGCAAAGGAGTTGGCAGATCAAATACAGACTGCTATGTTGATTGGTGACGGCCATGATGATGCCCACTGGGATGAAAAACAAAGAGGTAATACCAAGAGCCAAGAGTAGCCCATACCAAGGTAGGTGTGTGGGATAACTTGTGCTAAGGTCAGCTGCGGCCAAAGGTTAAAGAGAGGGGGAAACATACTATTCCACAGTGAAGATGGCAATCGCGAGCATAGAGATGAACACGATCAGGTACCACGTGAGAGGAGCGTCCTTGTAGCGCCTCATCAAACGGCAATGAACATCTTCCCCGCCCAATGGAATTTCCTGGTTCGGTTCATGCGAGCTGGTCCTTGGGATTTCAAAACTCTGCCGAATCGTAGCATTGCTGCCACGAAGGGGCTGGTACGTCTCCATGTCTGGCACTTCTCGTCTTTCCTCAAAAGCCTTTCTGGTCTGCTGCCAGATGTCCTTTCCGTACCAGCAAACGGTGTGAGTGACAAGGGATGTCAAGGCAGCAAACTGAACACCGTAAGACAGCACATAGGTAATTGGGAGATAAACCGGGGAGTAATCTTGATAGGCCTTTTCATCGAACAAAAAGTCCGTGGTCAAAATGCGGCTCACGTTGTATGGTCGCCCAGCATTGTCGAATACTGCTGTTGAAACTATAGGCATATATGCAGAGAAAAGGGCATTTTTATAGTCTTCGTTTGATTAGCAGAGTCAAATGAGATAAAACGGGGATATCTTACAAAGTATTGGAGCGGCTATCCAGATGACAAGCACCAGCCCCGTCACGATGTTGGCTGCGGCCCACCAAGGCGTGAGTAATGGGGAGCCAATATAGGCAATCTGAGCCCAATCAAAGGTCAAGGGGAACATTCCGAGACCAGAGGCAACCCCAAACTAGAAGAGTCAGTCAAAGCAGCAGAAAATGACATGGATGAATGTCTTACCAAGTTCGAAACTACCACGTTTTTGGGTGCCAACCAAGTGATCACATTAAAATAACTTAGGGCAGGCATCAACAGTCCCGGAACAAAATACCAGAGGAACGCTCCTCCCCACACAATGACGAAGAATTTATATCGGGAGATACTCCACCCATTTGCCTTTTTGTTGACAGACTTATGCATTGTAGAAAACATTGCAGTGGACATCAGTGTACCCGGCCAGATCATAGCTGATGGCCGCACGAGGAATCGTCGAGTTAGACCCGCGAATGCATATCCCAAAACCTGAGTGGATATGATGAGCAGCAGTTGATATATAATCGGGACATCCTGGTTGTAGAATTTGTGTTGCTCGACAATAACCTGTCTTGGTCAGCTTCGTTATCAATACTTCGTCGGTGTACTAACATCAGTGGCGAAAGCAAACCCAAAGGAAACATTGCTGCTAATATAGACGCAAGCATGCTCTTTCTCGTTCCAACGGCCCTGGGCAAACCAAAGCCTGACTCGGGATGCCAATGGTGCAGGGGGAGCATCGATCTCGCCGGAGAGTAATTCCCGGTGATGAAGGGATCCGTTCTCAAAAATCTCGAGAGGGTCCCCTGTTTTTTTGAAAAGAACATCCCAAAACTTGCCCAGTGGATGGACCAGAACAAGAGCAATAATTGGGGTAATGGCAACACTGGGATAGCGCAAAGAAAAGAAAAGGTTGGCAGCGGAACCCGTCAAAGAAAATAATAAAGAGAGAATCCACATCCGAGGTGCTAGAAACCATTAGATATACGCAGAGAAAAAAAAAGCACCTGGGAGAAAGCTTACTGTTAATAGAAAGAGAGATATCGTCCGTGGCCGGAACCGAAGCTCGTACTTGGGCATACGGCGAATTATCTGGAGGATCCTCACTCGAGGATTTTGAATCGTCATCATCAATGTCTAGGGCATTTTCATCATCACTTGTCATATATGGCGAAGACGCTGGTGTCTCCTGCATCACCGGGTTACCCGGTACGGCCAATCCAGTGGCAAACGAGTATTTTGAATCAGGACCCATTCCAACATCGGACGCAGCGGATGAAGGCCGACGATTTCTCTCTGCATACAAGCTGTTTCGTCTCCTGACAGAGGAATGTGATCGTCTCGGGGTAGACCCTTGTACGTTGGAAGAACTTCCAATGCCATCTTCGAAGCTCGCGCGTTGTAAACCCCCACGAACTTTTTGGCCGCGAGAAACTGGAAAATTCTCTTCCGAGTCGTTTGAGCTTTGCAATGATCCGTAAGAGGGAGCACCCAGGATGGGCGACGAGCGAAGAGGGGCGCGCGACATGAAGGCCCGAAAGCGCTGAACAACCCCAGTGTCGGGGTTCACGTCGGGTGGTAGATTGTCGATTTCGGGGTAATTTCCATTGTCGCTCGCACAATCATCGAAAGTGGAATCAGTTCGATCCGACTCAGCGGGAAGCCACTTGCGCCTCGGGGCCGAGGGGCAAGACAGCTTCCGCGTCCGCAGTGGGATATTTGACGACGTGATGGTGGGGGGGATGATGAAATACTGTAAGTATTTCAGGTTAGGTCGTGCATTAGCTCGATATAGATCTGGGCATTGAGGAATCGGAAGGGAGGAAATCCCAGAGCTAGTGGAGGACTAAGGTCGTAGTGTGGTGAAAAACGACCCATCGTCCCCCCGGAGCTGGACTGCCCCACCGACATCGGCAGATTTATCTTCCTTGTCCAACGGAGGGTTACATACAACATTGAAGGTACGATATTAACAATCATACACAACAATTGAATAATATACAGTGTTGGATAATGTTTACTTCCATATGTACAATTGATTTGGTATCTAATCGCTTAAAACAGTTCTACAACCTCTTCATCCTCGTTTCGAGGCGCCTCGATTTGAGGTTGTTCGGGCTCCTCTTCACCTTCACCTTCCTCGTCTCTCATCAGGACCTGAACTAACCGGTCGCATGCCTCTGTCACATTTTCATCTTCAACATGCATGTGAGTTTCACGGATCAAAGGGTAAACCTTGACGGCTCGCATCTTATCACGGCCCTCTCGGGTTGTGGTCAGGAGCAGCAGGGTTTCAAGATGGGTTGTGATGATGGTGGTGTCGCTGTCTCGCTGCTTATCGGGTGGCAATAGCTGGAGATCTGGCAGCATATCCGCCGTATCCTCGTCCGACAGCTCCTCTGGGCCCGCAAGTGGGAGCAGCAGGTAAGGCAGAAGGTTGGCGCCATCCTCGTCAAAGAGCATTGGATGCGACTCGACTTCAAAAGCCACATTCTTGATTGTGGATGCAACACCCTTCCTGCGGATATCGCTTTTGTGCTCCGTGAAGACAGTCAGCTTGGTGATGGGGACCACGCCATCGTACTCCTGGCGTTGGGTGAAATAGGCTCTGCCCTTCTCCGTCTGGGACAAGTCGGCAAACACGTATGACAGGTAATCATAATTGGCGTGCTTGTTGAGACCGCCCTCGGCGCCCTTCACAAAGCAGTCCATCACCTGATCGATTGCGTTCCCGGAGGTAGATACGGATTCGGGGACTTTGCGCTTGAGTGAGAACAGATCGGGCAGTTTGTCGGATTTGACGAGATTGGCCAACAGCATGGCCACTTCATCGGCGTTGGGCTCCTTGGGATTCTGAGATCAAACACATTAGCCTCATTCCTGTCCACAAGCATGACCGAGACAACTCACTGTCAATTTCGCAAGCAAGGTCTCAACGAACTTCTCATCCTCGGCGAGAAGTTTCAACACCTCCTCGTCAGCAGACAAATTGACTAAAATGGTCAATGCATTCTTCGCAATGGGCTATACAAAGATATCAGTCGAAAGTCACCCCCATGATCGCCAGATAACGCACAATGTAATCGCGGGCCAGAAGCTTCAAATCGCGGACGGGTAGGAGTTGATGGCGCTTGAACAAGTCAGGCTGCGCTGTGGAGAAGCCGACGAGGTTTTCGCAAGCTATGAGCTGTTAGATCATATATTCGCGTCGCGAGAGGAGTTGCCGCACCGATTTGTCTGATTTGGGTGTTGCCATGGTGCAGGAATTCCACCAGCTATAGAAAGATGTGAGTGAGCTAATCGATATCGTGGGTCGTATACACGCACCTCTTCAAGTTCGGTCGGCATATTGGAGTATAATGTTATCTATTAGCCAAAAAGAAGGGCACCTGAATGTGTGTTCCAAAATTGTCGAATCTCAAAGATTTTTTTTTCCCGCGGAAGTGGGGGGCTCTCGACGTCACTGGAAGCGTGGAGATACTCCAGGGGTGTTGTCTACGATTGGTAATACAAAACATATAGTTACCTACAATATGTAGATATAGACAATCTTCAGAGGATAGAGGTCATTAATCCAATAATAGCCATACCACTAATAATCTATATTTTTACAATATTCATGTCGACGTTACTATATTCCTTTGAAAAGAGGTCGGAATTGCCCCGCCTTTAGCGTTCCCGGAGATCGTCTCCTCCATCTTTGATCTTTAAATCAGCTATACCTAGGTCGAACTCAAGTCTACCATCTTAATACCTCAATTATATCATGGAGAACCCAAACCTCAACGAGATCCATGACTTCCTAGTCTCATTGGCCTTCAAGGCTGGGGACATCATCAACAATGCACTCCCAGCAACCAGCGGCACAGGATCCAAAATGAATAGTCTGTATGCAAACAAACAGCAATAAGACACCAACTGATCCCCGTAGGTGCCGACCTCGTCACAGAATATGACCGTGCTGTTGAAAACATGATCTCTACCTCACTGAGGGAGAAATACCCACACTACGAGTATGTGTTTTCTCGTCCATAGCCGCTAGCATGCTCCTGATGCGTATTCTCCTAGATTCCACGGCGAGGAAACATACGACCCAGCACACCCATTGACCGATGCCCCTACCTTCGTCGTGGACCCCATCGATGGAACGACGAACTTCGTGCACGGCTTCCCATTTGCCTGTGTTTCGCTCGGCTTCGCCGTTGGACGCATACCGGCTGTAGGTGTGGTGTATAATCCCTCCACCAAAAATCTCTACTCCGCTATTCGAGGCCAAGGTGCTTTCCTCAATCGTGAAACTCGCTTGCCACTTAAGGGCGACAATGTAGAGCCCCTGTCCGGACTAGCTAATGCTCTTATTGCTATTGAATGGGGCGCGGATCGCAGCGGGAACAATTGGGAGACTAAGGTTCGGACATATGAGAAGCTGGGCCAGTCTAAGGAAAACGGGGGAGCTATGGTACGCTCAATGCGGAGTTTAGGCTCGGCCGCGTTGAATCTATGTGCTGTGGCTGATGGCTCGCTGGATTTGTATTGGGAGGGTGGATGCTGGTCCTGGGATGTCTGCGCGGGATGGGTTATCCTCTCTGAAGCCGGGGGCATTATGGCGGACGGCAACCCGGGAGTCTGGGAGGCTCGTCTTGATGGGCGGAAATATCTTGCTGTCCGAGGTTCCCCAGGCGGAACTGGACAGAAGGAGATGGTCGAGGAATTCTGGAGCCATGTTCAAGGTGAATTGAAGTATTGATTACCACCCCTTCATATTCGGACTAGTTGAATACGATATAAAAAAAAGCTTCAATTCAAATATAACGTTCACATAATTACAGGGTATATGTCTAGGAAAGACCGTATGTACAATGAAAGCCAGAACGGCGCTATTATATGTGACGGAAACCAGCGTTAGTTTCCACTTCGAAGCCGGAATCGCTGTCATCCTCGACAACTTCACGATCAGTCCACCGTGCTGAATCCGACCTCGATACAAGATTTCTGTCGCCGGTGCTCGTGTGTGATTCATTTTCAGCCGGTAACGTGTCACTCGGACCAGGAGATGGATCTTCCGATACATGGAGATCGGATATATTTGGCAAATCGTCTGTATCTCTTACTGGGTTTGGATTGACAGAATCGGACTGCCCTTCAACCTCATCACCCGAACTAGTCGGTCCAACATTTGGAGACTTGGCCATCTCCACATTTTGCTTCAGAGAATCGTCAGTCTCCGCAGTAGGCGTATGGCTGAAATGTGTGTCAACCAAGTGTTTCACAACAGGCCAGCCATAGGCATTGGTGAACATGCGCCGCACAATAATGTTATTGTGGGCATCGGGCTCAAGCCGAACAAGAACCTTACGCCAAGTCAGATCACGGTGATAGGCTCTCGCAATCTTTTCTTCGACCTTGAGGCCACTTTCATTTCCCGCGATGCTAGCAGGTGGATGCTGAGTGGGCGTCGACTTCGATTGCTTGCCCTGAAGCGAACCAAATGCTAATGTGCGTCGCTTTGTGGGTAAAGGGGGTGGTATATCCTCTGGGTGGTAGATGCGGTCGTGGAAGATTGTCCGGGGTCGCGAGGCAGGATCCAAAATGAAATCCGCAGGTGGTAAAGGCGGCATCAGTAAGTCTCCGGCAGACTCGAAAAATGTTGTCTTTGGAGGCGTATGCACTCCTTCGTGCTCGTGCGAGGAACTTCCACGCGTAATGGGCATTATACCATTGCCATCGCCAGTCTCAAACGTGCTGAGGGTTTGGCTACGCTTATAAATTCTAGCATTCTTGCTATTAGGGGGGTTCTTGCCCTGATTTAGGCGAAACAGCGAGAAAAAGCTGTCCAGGGGACTGTGAGGCGCACTCGCACTTCCTGGGACATTTTCCTTCACCACGCCCTCCTCTGGCATTTTCAGGCTGGACACATGACTGGGCGGTGCTAGGAATTGTGCTGGTCTCGGGGAGGTTGCATCTTCGCCCAAAATGTCGTTTTTAGATCTTGGAGAAACTTGAGTCGCAGAATATGGAATTTGATGATCGGTCTCCAATGTCGGGAGACTCAAAGGCTGTTCTCCATCAGAGCGACCTAATCGCGGGGATTTCGAGTTGGCGCCTGTCAACTCTGCCCACCCCCATTCGGCCATGGTTCCAACAAGTCCATTGTCCCTCCTTGCCTTTTCGACCCGATCCAGACCTTTCCAGTCTAGGAACAAAAGTGAGGACGTCCGCAAAGGAACTATCCCGTCATTTACCACATTCGAGTACACTGTGCGATGTTGGAACTTCTTGAGAACCTCGTGGGCAGGACCGCAAGGAAGGATCCGTAGAAGCGGCTTGGCCCCAGGATCCGAGTGGCCGGGGTCTTTCGCAGACTCTCCTCTTCCAGCAATAATGGCCCCCCAGCCACTTCGAACTTTCGGTGCTGTCCAACTCAACCCGAGATCCTGACCGGTACGACCAACTAGACCTAAATCCAATGCAAATCGAACGTACATTGGATTCTCATTGCTGAGACCGAGAAAGGGGGTTGCAAGAGCAATAAAGTTAACAGGCTTGATTTGCTCGAAGAACTGAGGCGAGTGCTTTTGGATATATGCGATTGCATATGTCTGAATCAGCCCGCCGAGGGAATGGCCAACAAAACTGATGCTTGTAATCTGGTAGGCATGGTCTTCGTTTTGAAATTCTTGGGCATTTTCTTGGGGGGTTGATTCAGCCGAATGAGCAAATGGTTGAGCTCGCTCCTTGCGAGCACTAAAAGGTCGAGAAAATGGGTTCGACTTTGGGCCCCTCAGAGGGAAATAGGGTTGATCTGGATATGTGAGAAGTAGGACATATTTGGCCAGTCGTTTGCCGAGGTATTGAATTCCACGCTCAGTCCGAACGGCATTGCCAGAGAACCCTCTGACAATGACTTGCTCTTCATCGTCATCGTCAGGTTTATCGCTAGACTTGTTATTTCGATCGTCCTCCACATGGCTGGGTTTACTGCTGACAAAACTAGCGATTAGGAATTTTGGATGTCCAGGCACTCCAAGGGGGTTTCATACCTTGTCGGGTTTTCTTGATCATCCACTCCAACAGGGCCGACATGGGGAGCGCTTGTTTTATTGTCGGTCTGCTTGGACTTTCTCATGGCTGCGTCGATGCTCTCCTTCAAATAGAGCATGTCTGCACCGAGGTTGCTGTGCAATCCATGTGTCAGTAACACGAGATGCACCTTCTTCTTCTTGGCGCTTTTCATGGGAACTTCAGTAGAGCCCTCCGGCACTGGATTGTCAGGCAGAGGTTGCGAGTCCTGACTCTTCTGATCAACGCTTTCGGAAGCCGGGTTCGCCGAGGGGAATGGCGGATTGCTCCATAGACTAGTTGTATCGTCGACATGAAGAGCGATTGATTTTGTGTACACGCCTTTCGAGGCAAGCACCTGGCTGCCTCTAGTTTCAGGGAGCCAATGGTCTTGTAACTTTGCAGGAGGCCCCGGAGCGCCGTTTCCACTACTCCATGCACCGCCCGAGAAATATGCCAGCGATTTTTCATCTCGGCCCACCAGCAGCTCAAAATGGACCGCTGCGCTACTTGAGAATATCACCTGCGATTGTATCTCAACAATCCAGCTAACGCTGTGTCCACTTGCCGGTCCGCCTTGACTTGGAGAGCCAAAATCGTGAGCTTCCTGGAGATTAGCCGGCACCTTGATGATAGCGTCCCAACCACCTCCCGCCTTTAGGTAGGGCTCAAACTGGGGTGTACCCTCCAGATCCTGTCGCTCATATTTGGTGTTGGGATCAAACTGCGAGGGATAGCAAGCAGCGTATAGCGTGTACGGGCCATGGAGGTATGCGGCGCGCAATGGGATGGCAGATGTGTTCTTCACCCTCACGTAGAGATTCGAAGGAATGGGAAGGATCGGATCGTCCGCCGGAGTGTATGTAATTGTGTATCTGTTGGATGGTTTACTATTAGCGACCCAGGAGGACTTCGGACTTGAGGGGCAAAGCGGACTAGACTCACCTGACGACTTCCCCAACGCGAACACTACCAACTTGATGGATTAACAACATGTCGGTCGCTTCCTTTGTATCCGCCGGAGTTGTTTGCCAGCCGGAGAAGGTATGAAATCGCGACCTTTTATTGCAGGGCTGTGCTGCACCTTGGTCTGGGGTTTGAGAGGCCGAATAGGTGCGCGCAGTGATCAGCATCGAATCTAATGGGCAGTTCCATTATAATCAAGCAAATTCCAAGGCGCTAGATAAGAGAGACTAGCGAGACAACAACAATATCATTTGCTGGCGCATCCCATATGCTGGGATGGGTGGAGTGGTGGTTTACGGGGTCCAATCCCGGAGATGGCGGGAACACATGATTACATTCCCTTTACGGATCAACAACTTATGAACTGGCCCTTGTTTATAAACCATACACAATGTATTCTTCAGTTCTAATCTAATATACAATTCTATTGCAAATTGGGTGAATCTCTGTCTAATTGATCATGTTCAGCAAACGGGTAGGTTCTTTACGAATTTCCACCCAACCATCTTTCTCCACAGCGATGATCTTTCCATCAATACAAACGCGTCGCCACCTCTCCTCATCTTCTTGAAAATCGATTCGAACTTGTTCAGTGTCGGCGTAGGTAACCGTATCTTCCATCACATGCCGACCGCCCTGATAGGCTAGAGCCATCAACTGCATCGCGTCTTCCGCCGACATAGGACCGAAGCGGATGAACCTCATTTGTCCATCCAGGGCAACTGAGTCTGGGGAAATCAAGAAGTCCTTCTCAAGTCGTGGAACGAGTGTCGCAAGCGCATACATGTGCTCAAGCTCTTCCACTGGCTCTTGGGAACGTGCCTCGTTCGGGCCATTCGAGGTGGTTAATGTGATTTTGCCTTTGAATTCGTGAGGTGGAGTGCCGTCCGAGGGATTAAGGAGTTCATTTGCGGCCATCTTAAAACGATCCACTCCAAATTTGCGATATTCGAATGTATCGCTGTCTGCCACCAATGCAGCATGGAGCCCCCAGCTCGCAACAACGGCCCCGTATAATGTGTGGTAGACATCGGTGTCGATATCGACTCGCTGGCGACCTTCATCGATGACCAATCGACTGCCAGGTGAAAATTTGGCAGCAAAGACTGGTATAGACGATGGGCTGCCTCGAAGGAGGGTTGAAAGACCCGGCACTGGACCAGATCGTAACCCAATAGAACTTGCCATAGCATTCCCTGTCCCACAAGGAATCAACACAATATTGGGAGATATACCGATCGTCTTCTTGGATTTGTAGAAAATATCGAGAATGTCGATAAGACCCCCGTCGCCAGAAAGAAGGATGATGGTCTGAGGGACGCTATTATGAGCCCGGTCCAGAAATTTCGATCGTGCGAGCTCGATGATAGTTTGTGCCGACTGAGTCTCGTAGAGCTCGTAATTTTCTAGCCCAACATATGTAAGAAGGGGCCGGACAACATCTTCAAAGACTGTCTTGGCTTTCCCCGTTCCTGATCCAGTAGATACTACAACCTGGACGACAGGTGGTTCATCTGCATTCAGAATATGGTTGGGGACTTTGGTCACAAATGGAGATAGTTCTGCAGGCAGAGACTCGATCTCGATCTTTTTTAAAGAAAAATCCTCGGACTTGGGGCCATCCAGTTCGGTTTTCTGAAAGAACAGCACACTGTACGTGGGTGGATTGGACAACACGCAAAGAATGTCGCTGAAGTCAATCACATACTCAGTGCCTGTGTGAGATTTGTATTTCAAGGTACTGTCGACTATATCGACTGCCAAAGGGCCAGACATCTCTGCTATCTCTGAGTATGTAGAGCAGTGAGAGAAAAATCAACAGTTGACAAGGCGGGGTTGACGGCTTACCCGGACTTCCTAACCATCCATGTCGTACTACTTGGGTAAAAAGACGACAGTCTTTCTAGGGGAGATCTCACTCTTTCAATTCTTATTATAATTAAATGACTATCATTTTATCAAAAAATCGAAATTAATTATCAATTTTTTTTTGGCTTAACATATTTATTATATTTCATTATATACAACTGACACTATCGATCGTCGAAGCACGACCTTGCCTATGGCATACCTAGGTAATCATGAGCGAAGAACCTTCGAAACATCCCATCATAGTTAGATGGCAGGGGCTGTAAGTGAATCCCTACTTCATTTTATGCCGTTTCCTTAAGCTTGTTTGATCGCCTCCACTTCAATCTCAATTCTCATCGCCGAGAATGCTAGTTGGGGCACAGCGATAGCGGTCCAGATAGGTCGATGACCCGGAATACGCTCCTTGAGCTTCTTGACGGTGAGATCATATGAAGAGTCGATATTGACGTGGTAGCTGCGGATAGAATAAACGTCTTCCCAGCCGCGAAGACCCGCGGCTTGGAGCACTCTGTCCACATTTTGGAATGCTAGATCGACTTGACCGGGAATATTGCCGGCATCCAGAGCACCGGTTTGGTCCCAACCTCCTTGTCCAGAACATTTGACAATATTTCCCAAGACAACTGCCTGGGAATAATGGCATAGATCGCTGTGCTTCTGACCAGCGCCTTTTTCGTTGATATAAGACAGAGAAGACATTGTAATCGTGAGGTGGAAGACAGGCAGTCAGGTTGATGAATTGAGATAACTTGGATAAATGTAAACTGAGCCCACCCTAATGTACATATATACTCTTAAAATATCATGATGGAGCATCTATGGAGGTGTTTGGAGGTGGTTCTCCACAGTCTCCACTATAGTATTGCGGTATTGGCGTATTGGCTGCGACTATGACGACCTCAAACTTCTAACCTCCATCGATATTGGAGACAATTCGCTTTTTATCTACCTCCACCGATCCTCTCAAATACTAGTACCCTTACGCTCACAGTGCTTATTGGAGATTTGAGATGGATGAAATCTCAGCGGCTGAACACGAAGCTTCTCCAACGGACAGAAGAAAACCGCGAATATGCCAGTATTGCAAGCGTCACTTCCGGCGATACGAACACCTGGAGCGGCATCTGCGAATCCGTGAGCATACCTTTGTATTAGATATATTACCGATCATCACGTTAATAATGTTTAGATACCAATGAAAAACCATATAAATGCTCCTGCGGTTCTTCCTTCAGCCGGCGTGATCTCCTGAAGCGGCATGAAAGTATCACTCACGCCCCAATCAACCCACCAACGCAGCAACAATCACCAGCAGTTGCCAATGATAGTGAAGATGCTCAGTCACAAAGCAACCAGATTCACTTTGATCCAGGGATATCCCCCTGGCAGCACCCAGACTTTCAAAATATATCAACTGGGTCGATCAGCCAGAACGAGCCACTTACTGATTATCAACTAGAAGGTATGTTATAGTTAAAGCCCCTAGATAGTGTTATTCGGAGAAGAGAAAAAAAGATCCAGAAGCCCCATCCGTTCTGTTGTCATCGTCTAATGCACTTGCTAAATCAATGCAGGAAACCCTCTATCCAGTGCCCAAGATCTACTGGTCCTGCAAAGCCTGGAAATGTTCAGTAACAACATAGGGCTGAACAACGAGTGGCACTTAGCATCTGAGCCAAGCATCACGCAAATATTCGCTAGAGACTTCAACATGAATGCTTTACCAACCCCATCAACTGCATATCCATCTCATGAACAGCCCTCGGGCCCAGATCAAACACTAAGCAAGCTTCCAACTGAAAGAGAAGCCGTCGGTAAGGCGATTCTTATTACATGCCCCAGTGAGAGGTAAAGTCTAACCATTATATACAGCGGAATTCGGAGTTCTAACATTGCCAATCTTGGCGGTCACAAATCTGCATCGAGAAAGCCTTCTGGAGGCGCTGGAAAAATCCCAAACCACTGTAACAGACATCTCTTTGCCATCCTGCCATTCGCTCTCAAGATTTGTCAATGGGTTTTTTGATGGATTCTACCCCCATCTACCGGTAGTTCACATTCCAACGTTCAACATTGACGAGTGCGAGCCAGAGATCCTCTTGGCCATGTGTGCACTTGGGGCCGAGTTTCGACACGAGAATCGAAAAGCAGTGTTGCTCTTTCGAGCCGCCAAGGATATTCTTCAACAGACGATACGCGAACGGGAAATGGTAGAAACCGAGAGAAAATCGTATACTAAAACTAGCGTGAATACGACTCATTCCACACACGAAACTCGCGATTCTGACTTCGAGTTTCTGCAACAGAGGGCAGTTATGCGTGAGGCACGTTGTACCTTCTTTCTCATTGCCTTTGCAACCTGGCAGAATGAGGAGAGCATAGCTCGAGAAGCTTTCAATCTCCAAAGCTCCTTGGCGAGATGTATCAGAGAATCTTGGCTGGAAGAAGTTGAACAGTTTCTACATGCCAATAGCACTGATTGGCGCTCTTGGATTCAACGGGAGTTAGACAGAAGAGTAAAATTCTTTTCGTTTGTTTTTTTGAATCTCCATTCTATAGCATTCGGCACACCACCAGTCATATTGAGTGAAGAAATCCACCTTCGTCTGCCATGCAGCTGTCTCGAGTGGATTGCTCCGAATCAAGAGAAATGGAATTTGATTCGAAGATCCGGGCATCAGGAGCAAATGCTGTTTCAGGATGCTCTCTGCCACATAATGAAGAGTCATCGAGAGTCGCATCCCCCATACTCACAGCCAGTGCCATCTCCCTTGGCAAACTACGTTCTTTTGCATGCGGTCATACAAAAAATCCTCCTAACCTACCATGCCCTCGGACCTTATAATGACGTCGATCAGAGTTTGATAACTGGACAAAAGGAGATTATGCGGTAAGTTAACCACGCTTCATCTAAAACTACTGTTTCTAATCTACTACTTTTCTTATTTGATAAGAAATGCTCTTCATGCATGGACCTATCTATGGCAACGAGCCCCCGAATCTAGTCTGGATCCCCGGAATCCCAATGGCCCTGTTACTTTTACATCAGCTGCGTTATTAGGTGTTGCATATGTACGACTTGGTCTCGATTTGGGATCATATAAAATACTGCGATATCGAGATCCAGAGCAGATTGCCAACCAGCTACTGCAAATTCCACGCTTACCTGCTGGTCCTCATCTTCTTCCGGCAATCTTACATGCAACGCATGCCCTCAGCATACCGGTCAAACTCGGGGTAAATTTCGTCGCTCAAAGCCATGCGTTTGTGTGGAATGTCCAGCACTCCCTCTGTGCATTGGAATTTGCCGTATTTCTCAGCAAGTGGTTATTCTGTATCTCCGACTGCCAGACCAGAAGGCCTCTTGATGGTATGTGTTTCATTTCGTTTAATTCCCTTTTAAAATTCTCATTTTTAAACGGCAAAACTGACTAACTTGTTTTATTTAGAACAGGAGACACGTCTTGTGAGCTGGATTAGCGATATTGTCGAGGAAGGACGAACATCTGGAGATGACGACTTTTGGTCTAGACCTTCACACCAGTCTGACTGTGCTTACCTTGGGTTTGCTGTAGTCAAGCTATGGGCTCGCCTTATACGAGGAAACGAAAAATGGTCACTCATAAGAGTGATTGGTGATGGGCTTGATATATATGCCGATACTTGTGAGCAGCGCTATGTACATGCACAGACAACCCCAGTGGCTACCTAAACATCCATATAGTTAGTTTCTGAGTGATTGCATACGAGCATTTAGCGACTATTCCAAAATATTATAGCGGTATATATATTACATCCATTAAAGATTACACATGTAGATAATTGCAGCTAGTCGTAGCATGAGCATCGTTCTTCCTATTAGCCATAGCTGTAGCACTGTATGTTGTATTAAACGTCTAATCCACATTAACCTTTTTTGGACGCTCTTTTTGGATCTTCTTTTTAGATGTATAAAGCAGACTTTGTGTAATAGAACTTTCTATATATAACCTTTGATTCCCTTCACACCAATTCTTCTTGACCCTTCGAATCTTCCCGAGTTGTCTTTTTGCACCAACGCTTCCAAGCCCGAGAAGTGTCGCCCATCGGAACCGAGAATGGCAGAGAGTCTTCACACAGATAATGAAGAACAGAATAGTATCCAAGTAAACTGGAAACGAAAGCGAAAGCACCGGCAACGGTCATGAGATTCGCACTTTTGTCGATCAACCCGTCGGCCAGGACAAAGCTAGACGCGGCGTCGAAAATGAGACACAGCTCAAGTGTAAGGAACAGAAGGATATAAACAATGTTCCTGTTCAACCGGATTAGCTTTCGTATTAGAGAAATTTAGAGTCGAAGGAACTCACAGAGCACAGCTGGCTAAGAGAAAGAAGAGGTTGAAGACCGCCCATACTAGAGAAAAGAATATCAGAGAAAAAGCCAAAGGAATATAATTTGGAAGCATAGCGCTTACACAAGACAAAGAAACCCAGGGCGTTGTGGTACTCTGGAGTATAACCGCCATATGCATCCACGATGCCTAATGTGGGAATCATAATTACTCCGTAACCGCCATAAAAGAATGCTGCAACCATGAAATGTTAATATTTAGTTCCTTGAATAGCAAAATAGGATATTGTTGTCGTCACGAACCATAGGCAGAAAGAACTGTATAAGAAAATGTATTCCCTCGGGCCATCTCCCATTGAGCGGAAATGAGCATACCGATCCCAGCGACAAAGCAAAGATCACCCATGAAAATAGTTTGTGTGTAGACACCACGGAAGTTCATCATAGCCAAAGACACAGATAGCAGAGTGGTAGCAAAACCACCCATCGCTAAAGGTGCCTATGTGACCGAAGATTGGCATGTTAGTATGTACCCTGCACCTAAAACTTCAAGTCATCGAAGGATCTTACAGGGTTTGCTAAATGAGCACCGGGCTTCCTGGCAGATTGACTCGGTCTCGAGACCCGTGTCTCATCCTCCTTCACGGTAGACATTTCGTCAGATAACATCGATATATGGAGAATGAGGCCCAAGCAAGTCTATCACAAATCCAAGATTTCTTTTCAACATTTCAGCGAAAGGTACTTTATAAAGATTCTTTCCACAAACCCGGACAAGCCCGAGCGAAATTAGATTCCCGAGGAAATCGTGCCTATTCGTAGCCATGGAGGGAAAAATTGCAGCTTCTATGACAAATTTGACCCAATAAAAATGTAATAGCCCTGGAGATCAGCGAAGATCCGAGTGACTTTCCGGGGGTTATTGGGGAGAACGGCCGCCAGACCCAGCTGGTCTATTCGATTCTTAATTTCTATTACGCTACTCCATACTTCGTGCCCTTCTTTTACCCCAAGAGTACGACCAAATTGGTGCGGTTGTCTCCACAGGCTTGGCCGCTACCCCACAGGGGTTGGCCGGGCTTGGCCGAGTGTGTACTGGCTTGGGTATTTGAGTAGGAATGGCCAAGTCGGTTCTTTTATATGGGGAGCACTAGAGGAAGATTGCAGGATGGTGTATTTATTAGGGGACTAAACCCAAGGAGGGGAAAAAAACCAACCGGAACAGGAAATTCATACATAGGTCCTCCGTTTACTAGATACATGATACAGCTTTCTTAAAGCAGTTCTACATAAGAGGCAATTCTATCTAAATGTATCGGTCACAAATTAAAACAAAAAATAGCCATCACAAATACAATGTTCCCGAAATATCGATCTTAGTCCTGGGCTGGGGAGATACCACGCGGGAGCGACGATGAACTGTGAGAGTGCTTGTCACTGAGGTTTACCGCGATGAAAGTCTTCGGTAGTTCCACACTATGTGCAATAATCAGTAAAAGTCCAGGGAGGTTAAGGTAGGATACAACTTACGTGTTGAATTTCGCCTTCAACGTCTCAATCACATCCTTCCAATCCTGATGGGCTGTTAGGCTTCGGCGTGGGGTGCAGCCGATGGAGTGTCTGGAATCGAGCTGCACGTCAAGCGGGTCGAAGGCATGACAACCAGGGCTGACTGAGATGCGGATGGAGTAAGAGTAGGAGTCAGATTCACTGTCCCGCGCTTCGTATAGCTCGAAGCAAATTTGAGACAGGTAATCAAGTTCTGGGATGGCACTCCTGGCAATCTTCGTTTGAATTCCACCTTCCAAGATGCAGTTCAAGAGGGTGTAGATATGAGATTCCTTGGTGAAGTAGAAGAAGGACTTGGCATCCTGCGAAGCCTGCACCTCTTCTAGATCTCGAACAATTTCTTGAAGGAGGGGAAGAGAGGTTAGGAGGCCAATCTCGAGTTTCTCGCTATCGGTGATTCCATATTCCTGAGGCGTCACGTAGTCGAACAAAACCTTCGCTAGCTTGTACAGTTCCCGGAGCTGAGAAAGCCGCTCATCCATCTTGCACTTGGAGGATTGGGAGCCAGGGAACAGCTTGAAGTAATGATCGTATGAATCATCTAGAGCCCGCAGGTGGGGCAGTGACTCGAGAGCAAGGATGCGTTTCTTCAACCCAAAGCGGTGGGCAAATGTCTGGTTTTCCGTGCGCTCTTCGGATTTTTCGTTCACGGTTTCCTGTCCAGATTTCCCCTCCACACTCATGTCTACCTGTGCTGCGCTCTTGCCTTTCTGTTCTTCAACAGAGTCACGGGGACTGTCCTGAGGCATGAAGACCCATTCCAAGAACTGTCTATTGTGGAGTGCATCGAATTTCATACTGTCGTATAGCTCGGAAAGCTTGCTCGGGTCGACTTTCTCGGTGTCACAGAACTCCGCAAATAGCTTTTCCCACCGTTCCTTGAAGAGTCGGGGATCTTCACCCGCGCACCAACGGCCCTGGATGCTAGATATATCAGTATCCACGGGGGGTGGTTGGCTCTGGATTTCAGGGTCATCGGATGGAGTCTGGAATATGTGCGGTGCGCTGTCGAGTTTCTCAAAGTTGTGTCGCATGACACTCCGGTGGAACTTCATCAGTTCAACTACCCTAGCAAGGACAACCGAAGGTTCTGGGATGTTTCTGTCCTTGGGCCAAGCAAACTGTGAAGGCGCAGACCCTTCCCGCAAAAGCAATTTCAGCTTTTTCTTGACTTTATCCATGACATCCTTGGCGGCATTTGAATCGTCAAGCAGATCTTTCCGAACTTGTATCAGGTCTTCCGGGATATCCTTCTGGTCCAAAAATGAGCATGCCCATATTTGTGCTTTAAGAGTTATTAGCTTGATGTAGGTCTTGGGAAGGAAGATAGCTCACCACTGGTGCTCACTCGACGTTCTGAGCTGGTAAATATACGGACGTTATTCAACGCCTCCTTGTTCATCAGCTTGAGATCATCCCGCATATTCAGTCCAAGATCCTGCGATTGATAACGTGCAGCATGTGTGGGCTCACCACCCCACTTGATGACAAGCTGCAGTTTGTCCAGGATCAGGTCATTCTCGGCGGCAGAGAACCGAGAAAAAGTCGCACCTGAGATAGAATCACTTCGTGTCTGTGATCTGCGCAAGTCCTCGTCCTCTGGCGTGAGTCCCTCTCCCTCATTGGGTGCAGGTGCAGGGGGCTCTTCACTGGGCTTGCTCTCAGGTAATGGAGTTGAAGTTTCCAGTGGGCCCTGCTCTCCCATTTCTTCTGGCTTTCTTTTCCGGAACATTGGCTTGATCTGTACTTTGGTACCAGGCCAGCCGCCCTTTTTATCCAGAGATGCGCGGAGCAACTGAAGCTTCTCCATGTCTTCGAGGCCCTTCTCCATAGCCACCTTGACGGCGTCAGAAACACTGGACAATGCATCCTCCCCCTTGATCACTATCTCGTTCTGGTGACCTTTCAGCAAATCCACAAAAGGTTGACTATGAAAAGTGAACTTGAATTTTTGCTTCGGTGTTCGATCTGCGTGTCGAATCACTGCCACCATGCCCTTCAGCTTCCAAGAGTGTTTGGAAGCAGGAAGAGGCGGAAGGGCTTCGTCATTGGCGTGCTGCACCGAAAGAGCCGGGGATTTCGTGTTCGAGGGACTATAGCCACGACTAGTAGTGTAGGCTTCCCGGGAATTCAATTTGCTGAGAGCAGCACCAATATCGGTACTCTCTACCCCAGACGACGCTACTGATGGAGTACATGACTCTGAGGCTTCAGTAGGTTTCTGACTTTGGCCGTAAAGTCTGGAAGTGCTAGGAGACTTCAGCAATGTCTTCAGTGCTTGGCGATGAGATCCTGTCGTGCTCCGTCTGGAAGAGGATGAGCCCATGTCCGGTGATGGAGGCTCGGACGATTCTGATATTCCCTCGCATTTGCGCCTTTCTTCCAAGAAAATATCCCTGAGGATGTTGGCACACTTATCGTAATAATCATTGTTGTCCTTGACGAAGCTCCAGCCGTTGACATCAATGACATAGCTTTTATCTCCCACGCGGAGCATGTCAAAGCCACAAATTCTTTGACCGAATCCATTGGAGATTTTCGATGCGATTATTGCCTCCTCCTTGCCAAGTTTCGTGATGTATCGTACCTCCTTCCCGTGGGTATTGCGCCGAACGAGACCGTCGACCACGGGCGATTTGCGCGTCTCTGCGTGACAAAAGTTTGGTCCAACGGTGTAGGCTTTGACATCTTCTGCATTATCAACCCTGAGGAACTGTTCGTACAGATAGCTTGCGTCCTTCTCGGTGACAGATCTTGGAACAGTGAGGTTGGGGTCATATTCCGAGCTTTTGTTGCCGACCTTTCGGAATAGTCTTCGTCCACCGCCACCGTACTGTTGATCATTGGGGAAGTAGATGTGAATGTTGTGGTCCTCACCATTGACAGGCTTTTCAACAAAGGGCTTTTTGAAGACTTTGCCGTCAACGATCAGGGCCTCGCCATCCTCGGACATTGAAACACTCTTGGTTTGAGGGGCACCGCCACCAATTCCGCTCTCTGGGCCTTCGAGCTTCACGCCGGTCAACTGATAAATATGCTGCCCGAGTTCTGCCGATTCTAGAACCGGACCACCATCGCGGTTGACCTCCAGCCGCTTCGGAGTGGGAACACCCATATGGTCCAGAATCCTCAGGCACAGCCGCCTATCCCACAAGACCTTTTGCATAGGCAGGTCATTGACACAGAGCGGTTTGCGAAGTTTAGCATAGGCAATGGCTTTGTCCAAGGGGAATCCATCGGAGAAGAAAGCGACCAGGAAGTCACACACGGGCCAATTTTCGACAGCTTCATCGAGAATAACCTTGTCTCCAAAGACGATAACCTCGAATTCGCCTTTTGATTGGAGTCGAGTCAAGATATTCTGACTCGGTTTGCTGCGTGCTTTCACATCCAGGGCACAGACTCCGATCCTCCATGGTTTCAGGGAGCTGGATTCCATCTCACTGATAGAGCTTGCAGCTGTACTGGCAGCCGTGCTTGCGCTGAATCTTCGAGATGCGTGGCCTAAAGGGCGTGTAGATTGTCCCGTTCGACTGGTAGAGCGAGTGTCAAATCCAGAATCGGCTTTTCCTGATTGGCTTTGGGCCGACTTTGCGTGTGACGTAGGCTTATTTGGCACCAATGTAGGTTCTGGAACGGGCCCCGTGGGCGTTATATCGTTGTTATCGGAGTCCATATCAAGTAACGGCGACGAGTGGATGGGTTCTGCAGGTCTCAAAGGTCCAGCATCGGCAAAAGAGCCGTTGCTGTGCTCAGCGGCATCATCCATATGAGGGGTCAATTGCCTGGGGCAGTATTGTGTTTTTAAATCCAATTCGATCGCATCAAATTTAATTTTGATCAATGGGATGTGGGATTTAGTGAAGCAGAAATTCTTTGAGTAGTAGCAATTCGCGGAGGGAGAAGTGGAAGCTCTGGGGATCCCAAGGTTGTATTACCAAATATATGATGGGGGGTTCCGCATTTGCATAGGCGGAGAGAGATAACGGGCATTTTGCTGGTTCAATTTTGTTCAATTCGTTTATTATTAGACTGAATGGGCTAGAAATGGTACGTCAATTGTATATTCGATTCATTGGGTCTCCTCGTATTCCTATAGACTACGGCATAACTAGATCCAAAAGTACAAATGCCCCATCTACCTGGTACTTATTGTGGAAGTCTCCAATACATGATGACGTTATTTGATAACATTTCAACTGTACAAAGGAGTCTCCGATAAGATAATAATGATTTTGTTTTAGAGAACGCAATATATTGAAATCATTGACAATTGTAGAATCATACTAAATCAAGGTAGATCAAAAGTAAATTCCAGATATTTTCACATGTAAAGGTATTCTGTACCCCATGAAAATGTACATCACCTGCTTGAAGGCGGTCTGATACATGCAGGACTAGGCGGGGCAGAAAAAAAACATCGGAAAAAAAAAAGACAAAGCTAGTGAGACGACTTGGACTACTAGGATACCTTTCGTGATTGACTTGGTGAACAAGTCAGAACGGAATTCTCACTTGAAAAGTTGAGGGGTTTCTTCTGATTACTTTGGACCCTCCAAGATATCCATTGTCGTCAGTGTGTCCCTCGATATCATCATGCCTTCTGCGGCCGATAATTTCGATCTGCCTCTTGCGAAGAGGCAGAAACGAGTATCCCAGGTTAAGGCTGGAACACGTGGTTCCAAAATCTTTGCTCCTTTCCGTGTAAGTTGAAGAAACACATTTGAATTGCTTCTGTTATCTAAACTGACTTGCCGCTATAAAGACACTAGGATTGGTGTCGCCAACACCCGTTCCCTTTACATCGGTGCGCCTGGGTAAATCGACCTTTCAAATCACAACCTCCGTGGGACACTCGCTGCAGACTTATGATTTGCGCCGAGGCTTGAACCTCATCTTTCTGAGTCGACCGCAAACACCGGAGATCATTACGGCAACATGTGCGTGGCAGGATAAGGTATTCGCAGCTTGGGGCCATCTCCGCTCGCAGGCCCCCGGAGGCATCTGGGTTTTCAAGCGCGGCAAAAGAGTTGCAGTCCTTGAGAGTCCCGCAGACCTAAAGGGACCTATCGAGCGCTTGGTGGTTTTTGGTTCATGGGTGGTTGGTTGCTGGACCGGCGGCCTCGAGGTTTGGAAAACGAGCACATACGAGCACTATGCCAGTCTGCGCCCACAGGGTTCCTCTGGAGAGAAGATCTACGCGGGGGTAATGTGCAACATGCCGACTTATCTGAACAAGATCTTCGTGGGCCGATCGGACGGAGCGGTCGATATCTGGAATCTCCGCAGTGGAAAGCTTCTTCACACATTGCCTCCTTTGTCGGCAGATGCTGGGCCAGTGACTGCGATTCACCCAACTCCTGCTCTATCCCTTGTTGCTATTGCCTACAAGGGCGGTGCGTTGGCTATTCAGAACGTTAGCTCAGGCCAGCTGATTTTGTCTCTCAAAAACGCATCATCCCGTGGTCTGCCGGTAACATCCATCACTTTCCGCGGCGACGGATTGGGTGCTGGTCACGATGGTCGTAGCTCGGGTGTCATGGCCACAGCGTCAAGTGGTAGCGGGGATATCACACTCTGGGACTTGAATAATGGAGGTCGCATTGCAGGCATTCTTCGTGGAGCCCATCGAGTGTCAAGCGGCGAAAAGCCCATGGGCGCTAACCGTGTTGAGTTCTTGGATGGACAGCCAGTGCTCGTGTCATCAGGTGATGACAATTCTTTGAAGACTTGGATCTTTGACGAAACGCCATTTTCGCCCATTCCCAGACCTCTTCACAGAAGAAATGGACACTCTGCTGCCGTCAGCGCTCTCGATTTCCTGCCGACTTCTTCAGATGGTTCCGAGTCTGGCGGCAAGTGGCTTCTTAGTGCAAGCAAGGATTGCAGTCTCTGGGGGCTTAGTCTGCGCAAAGACAGCCAGCATACCGAGATCTCGCAGGGTAGCTTGGAGCGCAAGGCTAAGAAGGGAGGGCCATCAAACATCTCAAATACAGAGGATCTCAAGGCCCCCGAGGTTACATGCATTGCCTGCAGCCTTAACCGTGATGGCGGAATGGGAGTCACCACTTCTGGTCCAATCTGGTCGAACCCCAAGGTTACAAACGCCGATGCTTCCAATGCAACCGGTTGGGAAAGCGTGGTCACTGGCCACCGAGGTGATAAGTTTGCACGTACTTGGTTCTGGGGCAAGAAGAAGGCAGGTAGATGGGCGTTTGCAACCAGTGATGGAACAGAAGTCAAGGTACGCAGGTTTTTTAAACGTGATTGAGCAATTGTTCTCTTTTGCTAATTCATTATTCACAGAGCGTGACTGTTTCACAATGTGGTACTTTCGCTGTCATCGGATCAGCTGGAGGTTCTATTGACATGTTCAACATGCAGTCTGGTCTGCATCGACAAAGTTTCCCGGCTCGCCCCCAAGCTGGCCGTGGCATCAAATCCAATGTCCAGGCCTCGATCGCTGCGGCTACTAAACACACTAAAGCCGTGACTGGCTTGATGATCGACAGCTTGAACCGTACCGTTGTCAGCTGTGGCCTGGATGGCAAAGTCAAGGTACGCCCCACCACTCCCTTCTCTTTCTCGGAATTCACAAACTGACCTTCTCTGGAATATAGTTTTGGGATCTTCTCTCTGGAAAATTCATCGATGAACTAGACTGGCACCCCATGGCTGCCATTACTGGACTTCGTTATAACAAGGCTAGCGAACTAGTCGCCTTCAGCTGTGACGACCTCTCGATCCGTGTGATTGATCTCGAGACCAGAAAGCTCGTTCGTGAGTTCTGGGGATGCGTCGGTCAAGTCAACGATTTCATCTTCTCGAATGATGGACGATGGATTGTTGCTGCCTCCATGGACTCAGTGGTACGCGTATGGGATATGCCCACCGGACACCTGGTTGACATTTTCCGCGTCTCAAGCACATGTGTCGCTCTGGCCATGTCACCAACCGGTGAATTCCTCGCCACTGCACACGCTGGTAGCATTGGCATCAGTCTGTGGAGCAACCGCAGCCTTTTCATGCCTGTGTCAACCAAAAACCTGGATGAGAACGTTATTGAGAACGTTGGCCTTCCGGCAACATCAGGAGAAGGCGGTGCTGGTCTTATTGAAGCTGCCTTTGTGGATACTACCGAGCTAGATGAGGAAGATGGCCCAGTACTAGCGACGGAGCAACTACAACACGACATGATGACTCTGAGTCTTGTCCCAAAGAGCAGATGGCAGTCATTGATTCACCTAGATACTATACGGGTATGTTTTTATTCCTGCACAAGTGCAAGTCTCTAGCTAACAGTTCAATAGGAACGTAATCGTCCCAAGGAAGCCCCCAAGGCACCCGAGAAGGCACCTTTCTTCCTTCCTTCTCTCCTCGGTTCCAGTGGGCCCGAGGCCGCCAGCGAAATCCCCGGCACCGAGGATATCGACGCGGCATCAGTGGCCAAAATTGCTGAAGCTGAAAGGATGCGGATTGCCAGGTTGCAAAATGGCGGAACCGCCAGTGCTCCTCAATCTATTTTCACTCGATCATTGGCATCCGGCCATGATTCCGGTGACTTCAGCTCATTTATCGACCATCTCAAGACCTTATCCCCGGCTAAAGCAGACCTCGAGATTCGCTCACTGGATCCTCGGGTACGTGATGGACACTCTGAGTTGTCCGATTTCGTTGTTGCCCTGACTGCTCGCTTGAAGTCAAAGAGAGACTTTGAGCTTGTTAATGCTTGGATGGCGGTCTTCTTGAAGATCCACGCCGACACTGTGAGTCTCAGCTCTACTCAAGATGAGCCTCAGTATCGTCTGTTGCAAGAGGCTCTAGCAATTTGGTCTGCTGAGCAACAGCGGGAGGGAAAGCGCCTGGCTGAGCTGGTGGGCTACTGTCGCGGAGTTGTTGGGTTCTTGCGATCTGCTCGGTAATTTGAATTGGACAGATCCATAATTACAGCATAAATATTTCTCGGAGCATCAGTGCCTTTTGTTTTCTTTCTTTGTTATCTATCATGCGTGTTACGTCGAATCTATATCAATGGTTATACATGAAAAGGCTGTTTTGCACATATTAAGCTATTTTTGCCGCCTGTATTGTAGCTACAACACCAATAAGGACGAAAATATTTTAAAACATACGGCATATAAAGAGACCACCAAGAAGATGACCAGAAAGACATGTCAAGGCTGTATAAGTGACTATCGTTGCCTTTGTCTAAAGTTGGAACCGGCGCCTCATCCCTGACTAATACAAAAAAATGGAAGGAAAAAAAAAAAAACAACCACCACAACCAGAAGGGTTCTACCACACATTGGCTATGGGTATCCCTCACTTAACCAGGCATCTCCTTCCATATGCCGAAAGTGTTTTGTTAGATGGGAGGGCAATCGATTCAGAACTTCCGCGCGTGCAGGCCGTTGTCATTGACGGACCCAGTCTAGTATACCATGTATACCGCCGACTCCTGGGCTGGATGGACCCAAGCAGCGATGTCCTTGACTACCAGCCAACCTGCGATGAAATCAGTCGTGGGGTCATCAGCTTCCTTCTTCAATTAACCAGAATGGGGGTTAACATGTAAGCCACCACACTAGTCTGAACACAGTGCAGTTATCTTCTGATATCAATTCTTCTTTCCTTCTTTGCTACTTAGAAATAAGATATGCTTTGATGGTGCCTTGCCCGTCTCAAAGCGGCCAATCCGCTATTCCAGAATTGAAAAATTACGGCATCGATTGGAATTGGCCCGTCGGAATCTCTCTCTGCCTGCGACGCCCAAATGTCGCGATGTCATCCCGACTAAGCGAGGACAGGTCTGGTGCAGTCGAGGCTTGCCTCAGCGACGGAAGGGTCTTCCAGAGAACCCTTTCATGGTATCGGCGGTCTTTGAGGACTTGCAGACCCGATGGACCAAGGAACGGATCCAGAAAGAGGTTGACGATGATGTCAGCTGTCTTGTCGCCGATACTGATTACCCCTGGGCCGATATCACCGTCATGGTACCAGGAGAAGCTGATGTTGAGTGTGCTCGTGTGGCAAAACTTACCGGCTGTGCGGTGTTGACAGATGATTCGGATCTCCTGCTTCACGATCTTGGCGAGAATGGCGCGGTCTTGTTTTTGGACTCGGTGCAAACGTCTTCAGGTGTCTGGAATCCGGCCGACCCGGATATTCGGGGGCTGAGAATCTGTCCTCATTCGCTTTCCGGCCGATTGGGCATCCCAAGCGTTCAGTGGTTTGGTTATGAATTGCAAAAAAATCATCACCTGCGGTTTGCTGAACTTACTAGGATAGCTAAGGAGAGCAGTGAGGCGACTGAGCTCTCCTCTGAATACCTGGAGTTTCTTCAAGAGTATCAACCCGAGGACACAGATAATGAGGTGATACGTGGCGCAGGGCAGTCCACACAACCAATGGATCCGAGAGTATCAGAGTTATTTTGGCAGTATGAACTTCCCGGTATCTACAGTTCGGGCGAACAGCCACACGTCTATCTCGGGATTCTGAACGAAGACTCTTCCAGGCGATGTGCCTGGGAACAAGGTCGAACCTATAGGTCCCTTGGGTACTCATTTTTCAACATTTCCCGTCCTGCTGCCAACCAGTTTGCGGCTGTGCATGAATTTGTCCGCAGAGGTGGAAGGATCGTGGCCGAGGAGATCACTTTAAGCGGAACAAAGGCCGTAACCTCCGACCTGGATCTCGTCCGGAGACGCCTTGCCCATGCACATGCTACCTTTGACGAAGGTCTCGCACCTGAGAGCTTCTGGTTTTTGTATGCTCTTTCCGATATCTACCGTGATGGAGCCGGCACAACTACAGTTCCGAGTGCGAAGGAATTGGAGAGCTTTCTTACAAAGGGATATATGGCGCAAAGTACCAAATGGACGGACATTCACCTTCTCGCCCAAATCCAAGCTGCATTATACTCTCTGCGAATACTGAAGCAGCTTTTCGATATCGCAGCTCCTAGTGATGATTTGGTTGAATCCAGCTCACTACTTGCGGATTTACCCCCACTACACATATTGATGTCGCGACAGAAAATGATCGAGAGTTTTGCCAACACTCGTCATGTCCGGCATGCGGTTCGCCAATTGATAGAGACATATGGTTAATAGATATGAATATACATCGCAAATACACTACGAGCTTCACAAAGGAAAGACAGCATGGCTCAGGAGCCCTCGGGTGAATGACTATGATCAGCTAGGGATTCGACAACCAGGCGTCTTTGTAGAATACAATGACATTTGCGTTGGTGGTCACTATAGATGGAGAAGACATAAATATGCCACTGTATAACCTTGCCTGAGAAGCCCCGGGTCCTTCAAATGATTCATTCCATTGGCACATAGGTTTAAAGCACTAGAACCAGCCCTGGGAGGAGCGGTGCTGCTGGTTCTCGGTGCAGTCATTTTGTTTGGTCGGATACAGTCGATTGACGGCATAATTTGGTCTTGCGTGTTGTGATTGGTTGTTTGCCTGGTGTCTGGAAGCGAAAATTGTTTATGCTATTTTACAACTTTCTGGCAAAGAAAGAAACGGAAATTTTTGTGGGTATCATGTGTGGTCGCAATAGCGACAGACGACTGGCGGGTAGGATGTCGTTCAAGGCGCTCATTTTTCGGGGGCATCGGGAAGTCGTTCAATCACATATTTGCCGCGAGCGACACTCATGATGGGTGCTCCAGGAATTTTGCTAGTACAGTTATTAGAATTTGGCTGGTACAGTGGGAATGGCGTCGAAATGTAGGTTACATACCGGATACGTCTCTTGAGATCACGATCGTTTGTGGCGATAATGTAGACACGGTGCTTGATAACACGGTCGACCAGACAGTCATCGGCATAGGTTCCCTTATGGTCACACTTAACTCGCTCGAATCGAGGGTCCTTGGCTACACGAAGGGCAAGTCGGTATTTCGGGCCAAGCTTCTCCAACTCGGCAAGTACGCAATCGGTGACGATAGGGATACATTTGGCGTACAAGCAATCGAGCATAGTTGGAATGACCTCGAGTTTGTGCTGAATAGTGTGGGAGATGAAATTGGTATCGACCAGCACAGAGTATGGGGGGCGAGGGCCGTGTTGAACTGGAAGAACATTGACGAAGGAGCTTGGGGGCTAGAAGCGGAATTGTCAGTATGGTTATTGCGATAGTGCTACACAATATCCTTACGCCTCTTTAACGAGATCATCCTTTTTGGCCTCTTTGCCTTTCTCGGTCTTGTCTTGATTTTGCTTCCTATAACCGCTGTTAGCAAGTTGCAACAAGGCTGTGTTTCATGATTGTGACGAACAGGCGATTGTCGCGCATGGAAATAGCTCTCTTGGCCAGCGCATACTTGCGAGTCTTCTTTTGAACACCCATGATGACGAGACGTGGATGGTACAGTAGTGATAGTAGTGAGGAAGAGGTTTTTTTTCTCTTTTCTTATCGGGGAATCTATCTTGGGTTCGGGATGACTAATCGTGTGGATGGGCCCCGGGGACATCCCGCTCGTCACCTGCAGGCCCGCGGACAATCTTGTCTTCAAAACTCCCTTGTACTCAGCAATAATACTCCCTTAAACGCTCATTATGTCCAAGCCGGAGGCAGACTTTGATATGGCGAAAGTAAGTCCTCCTACTTGGGCGCTCGCAAGCAGCATCTATTTCCTGAACTATGCTGCTAGGCAACATTGCCCCTCTTACATCTACCAACTGGCCCAAGATTGGATAGCTAACTCATAATATAGGCACTCGCAGATCTCGCAAAGTACGTAAGCCCACTTATAGCTTATATCAATAAATTCATGATATTAACGTCATATATTTAGGGGTGAAATGACTGCCTCCGCCTTGGAGAATCATCTCAACGCAATTGAAAGCAAAGTCGATGAACTCTTGGCATCTTTCGAAAAGCAGGGTACTGCTGCAGCGGAGGCTACATCTGTCGATGAGACAGACCCAAGTCAACTGGGCACAGATCAGGATCAAAAAGCAGAGCCATCAAATAGCCCACCCAAGTGATACTGGCCATCGGCTCCCTTCTCTACAACTCCAATCTCTGTGATAATCCCATCGATCAAACTTGCAGGAGTAATGTCAAATGCCGGGTTCCAGACATTGATCCCTGGCGCGGCAATTTTCACGGTCTCAATCGCAATCTGGTCGGTGGCCTCGGAGCCCGCACGGGGACCCTTGATGCTGGTCACTTCGGATGCTGCACGTTGCTCAATGACAATGTCCTTTCCTGATTTTGTGGCCATATCGATTGTTGTGAGTGGCGCTGCGACGAGGAACTTGACACCGTGGTACTTTGCCAAGACAGCCAGGGCATATGTGCCGATTTTGTTGGCTGTGTCACCATTTGCTGCTACCCTATCAGCTCCCACCACAATTGCATTCACACCCACTTGGGTATCTGCGAGCAAAGCGGCCGCCATAGAATCCGTGATGAGCGTAGCTGGAATTTTGTCGTGAACCAACTCGAAGGCTGTAAGGCGAGACCCCTGGTTGTAAGGCCTAGTCTCTGTGCAATAAGCGTGACGTAGGATGTTTTTCGAGGCTAGCGAACGAACCACGCCCAATGCGGTGCCATATCCAGAAGTGGCGAGAGAGCTAGTGATTTAGGGTTAGTGATAAGATACGACGGATAATGGATAACGTAGTAAATCGGCCCTACCCAGTGTTGCAGTGAGTCAACACAGCAACTTCTGAATTTCCTCTGGCCGCATGAGTGGCGATCCATTCTGCGCCATTGTGCCCAATTCTCTTGTTATCCTCGAGATCCTTTCCCATCATATCCTCCGCCGCCTGAATAAACGCGGCTGCGACTTCTTGGCCAGTAGAGCCCGATTCTTTCGTGCGATTGACCACTATGGTCTCCAGCTTGCGCGCAGCATCAGCGAGATTGACGGCAGTTGGCCGACTCGTCACAAGATAAGCAAGCTTCTCTGTGATATACTGGCACACCTCTTCTGATGATTGTGAAAGTTTGTCACCATCCACAGCAGAGGTTAGTTCCGAGGCGAGGGCAAGCATTGCGACGATAGCGATAGCAGGTGCCCCGCGGACTTTCATATCTCTGATTGCGTGCCATCCATCTTCTGTAGTCCGAATGGGAATGTATTCTTCGACGAAGGGAAGCTGTAACTGATCCAGGATCTCAAGGTTACCCTTGCTGAACTTGATTGCTTGTAACATCTTCGCAGGTGACGATAAAAAAGTTCCGAAGACCTGGGTGAGGCGCGAGGAAAGATCTTTAAAAAGTACCGCGGGGACCTGGGAAAGCTTACTTAATCAAGGCCTATCAGGGCTCCGGCCGCGGGGGTAACAATAAAGGTACAATATACTGGAGGTACAACCTGTCCGGGGACGTATTCCCAACCTTATGTATGTAGGTAAGACAATCAAGCTGTAGCGGGATAAAATGCCATGTATTACTGCGCGAATGCACTTTGCGCCATTCAAAACACAAGGTCAAATGGCACATCGCCACATCACCAGAAAATATTACCAAGTCGCTGGGCAAAAAAGATGAGCTCATGGTCATAGGCACCAATTTTCAGCTCAGTACAAAGCAGGGAGAAAAAGAGCCCCCGGGCAAGTAGCCTCCATAACCCCAGGCCCGCAAGTCTCGCCAACTACATCATAAGAAGAGTTGGTCAATCACCGCCTAGGCTAGTATGCTGTCCCCCTATTAGCTAGAAGAATCCAAATCATTGCGGTGGCACTCAAAGCGCGCATTTCTTATCCACCTGCAAGCTGTCATAGGTGGTCCCAATCGATAACATCGAACAGTGTATTTTTGGATTTAACTGGAAGAGATGTAGAGTACTGTAGACGCTGGTCAGAAATCCATCGCGCAAGTCATACGATTGGAAGAAAAGAAAGCGTTGACGAACCATTATTTCCACGCACGAAAGCATCGCCGTAGTTTCGTCGTAGTTTTCCGTTCACATATTCCTCCGTCTTCTCGAGGGCAATGTTCATGTATCCATCGACTGATTGCAATTCACCTATAAGCGCATTAGAAGGGAAGCCATTGGAAATTCAAATAGGAGCCCATACCCTTGTATACCACTCCGGAATTCAGCTTCACGATCACAGGCGCACCGATGATCTCACTCAAGAAGACAGAGGGGTCTTTCCCTTCGGAAGTTGGGGCGTTCTCCATATTGATGTTGTAGTCTGAAATTTATTAAGTGTCAGCTAGAGCATAGTCCAAGGGAAAAAGGAGAGACGTACCTGGTTGAGATGTGCTTTAAAGTAGGGCGGAGGGATGAAGCATTCGAAAGTGAGAGACCAGGAAGGCGGTGAGGGTGTAGACTATCGCAAGCGGGGCGGGATCCGCTGATAAGTTTTCGTAGGGAATCGTACACCGCCCTTAGATTCTGCCGGTACTGCCGGTCATAAAATAGTGTACCTTTTACTGATAACTATGCAAACAACATTCAAAATGTTGAAATGATTAGATTTTGAAAGACACGAGCTAGCCAGAGCTATATGAGGTCAATCCATAAGAAATCGAGAAAATATAGGTCTTACATTGTCAAATATTCCACTTGACAGAAAGAGCGCTAAGTGCACTTTTAGTAGGCGGTAAAAAGGACGGTGTTCCTCGAGGTCCCACTGCACCTATTCCAAGTCCGGAAAGATGTGATGCATGTTCCCTTCACTTAACTGCCAATTGTTTGGCTTATGTCCAAGGCTCTTGTCGTGCATTTTACTCTCCCACTAACATATCACTGATTGTAAACAAGTGCCCCCACGAGTCACCTCTAAATCCGTTCAGTCATCCTACCATACTTGCATGTTTGACCACCAATTCCGGTTCCAAGAGTCATGAGCTTTTTCAAAAAGCCCTCATGGGCAATCACGAATACGGAAGAAGCCAGCACTGATTTTTATCGACGATCAGAACAGACGTACTCTGATATTATTGCTGCGAACCGTGAAGCACACAACAAACCGAAATCACCAGAAATTCCAGAACATACCGAAGACACCAAAGATACTGAGGATACCGAAGACCCAAAACGAGAGAAGCGGCGCCGAGTTTCTAGGGAAAAGAGGAAAGGGCGCGATGATAGCAGTCTGGTGCGAGATGTGAGCTGCGAGGTCGGTAGCAACAAAATTGTGCTACCAGAGCCACAAGAACTCTCGGTTTCCCCTCATAATTCCTCACCCGAGTCAGTCAAGCCCGTCAAACAACGCGAGACAACTCAGAAATGCAGCTCAGAAAACCACTTGCCCCAGTCACCGGAGAAAATCAGTGGTCCGGAGCCACTAGATGCTCTGCCAGTTAAACCAGTGACTGTCCTCGCGGATGACTCGGAAACTCGAAGCACTCAACCTGTTCAACCTCCTCGACCTATTCAAACTCCTCTGCCTGTTCAACCGGCAGAAGTCCCAGCGGATGACCCGATTGTTCAGATCTTGATCTCATCTGAAATTGCAAATACCAAACCATTACTTGTCCATCGCAAAATGTCACAGCGGCTAAGAGATGTGCGGTTGGCATGGTGCAATCGCCAGAATTTCGATCCCCAAATACAGGCATCAATCTACCTGACCTGGAAGGGCCGACGTCTATTCGACGTGACAACTTGCAGGAGTCTAAATATAAACCCCGGGAAGAACTCTGCGGCGATCCCTGGCATTGATGATGACTCGTTTGCAGACCAGAAAGAGCTGCGCATACATATGGAAGCGGTTACCGATCTACCTCTTCCGGTTAATCAGCGAATTACCTCGCCTGATAATGACAAGCCCCCCTACAGCGTCGCAATCCCCAGAAGATGACCAGGGTGAGCCAATGAAACTTATTCTGAGGAGTCCTGGATACGATGATTTCAGAATCAAAGCAAGAAAAAAGACCCTGATCTCGCGACTCATTTCTGCTTTTCGAGACAAACAGAATATTTCTGTGGACCATGATATCTTTCTCCTGTTTGACGGAGACAAACTTGACCCGGATTCGTGCCTTGGCGATAATGACATTGACGATCTAGATCTAGTGGATGTCCAGATCAAATAAGTCGTGTTGAAGGATCCGAACAACTGAATAATAGATAATGAAGGCTAATCAAAGTTAATCAAGTCATACAGTATGAATCTAGGAAATTTGTCTGTAAGACAATGTATATACAATTTCAAAGTAAACATCAACTGGTATAGTAGTCTGGGTATCCATATCACATGATATCCGATAAGCCGTGGGGCTCTTTTTTTTCTCCCTCGGAGGGGACCACCGACGTTATTCATAATCCTTTGAATTGATATCCCGTCTAGATCCAATCAATCTCAACATATTGACCAAGGTCCCCAGAACCTTCGCATCGAACAATCTACCAGCAATCCCCGCCCCAAACCCGCCACAATGAAAGTGATCACCGCCAATTTCGTGACATGCGCCGTGAAGGATTGCAAGACATCACCAGCCTCATTCCCATTACATTTCAACGATGCCGAGCTAGAGCAACAGGAACTGGATTTCCAGCCCGAATTCATCCGCAACGTCCTTCCCCGCATTGACTGGGCAGCCCTGCGCACCATTTCCAACGAGGTATGAACAACAATCCAACCCCAACATCCAACGACAGTATACCTAGGTATCCAGCATTTTACCGAGAATTACAAATAAACTAACACTTGCGCTCTTAGCTTGGATTCCCAACTCTTCCGGACTCGAAACCCGAGGGCGAGGCTCTCGACAACGAGCAGACATTGAAGGACTTGCACCGGTTGCTACTTGAGACGCACGTCACGGAAGGGAAATTGACCTGCGGAAACTGCGGTCATTCATATATGATTAAGGAAGGAATTGCGAACTTCCTTCTTCCAAGCCACCTTGGTAAGAAATATCCGTCTTTTGTTTTTCTTCTTGGCTGTTCGTTTTGCTAATATGAGGTCTCTTTCCAGTCTGAACAACACAATCCCACATGCGCTTTTCACCCAAATTGCTTCGCAAATCGATACCCCAGGGCTAGGATGCGGTTTTTGAGAACCAGTCTCTCCTCTTTTCCTTTTCCTTCTCTTCGAAAAAGTACCCTATGCAGTGGCACCAGGGTTATCAGATATCTGAGTCGAGTTCTTCTGGGATTTGACACATCTACGCTCTCACATTGCTTTCTAAGAGGACTTTGCTCCAGGGCCATGACTCGAAACGGAAAACAGGCGAAATTCTTTTGGAATTGGTATATTGTACAAGAGAGTCTGTAGTTTATGAAATCACGATTGCCATTGATAAATGCGTCAATGCTCCCACGCTGAAAACGCCAGCCTAATTCAACGCCACCCGGTAGAAGAGAGCCAAGAAACCTCCCAAAGAATTTTGTTGAAAGATCTTGGAAAGTGGGTTTAATTAAGGAATCCCTTGCAGCCCGTTGAGCCACAGAGACAGGGGATTCGATCGTCGCTGTCCCACTCTCTTTCGAATTTGTAGTCGTATGTAAGCTCCTCATCTGATAGATTTTGTTAGCATGTATTTTCCCATGAAGCAAGCGCAGTTCACGAACCTCTTTCGATATCCCTGAGCGCATAAATCACAATCCGTTTGCTGCCATCGACCTTGATGATCTTAGCAGTGCAGTTGGGTGTACAGCTGTGATTGATAAATCGCGCAATTCCTCCTCTCTTTGTGGCATCGATGACGGTGTTCTCGTCAATTCGGAAGAGATAACTGCTGCCGATTCCGCTCTTCAGGTATCGTCTTTCTCTCATATCGGCAACTTGCTGACGCACTTTCTCTCCGACATACTCGATGATCATGTCATTTGCAGTGATGTTTTCCTCAGCATACAAGCCCCAATTATGAATGGCAGAGCGAGCGAAGCGCACAGGCTTCTTGCGCTTCTTAAGCTGATTAAATCGAAGAACATCTCCTTCGCCGTTTGCAGTGGGAAGGGCTTGCTTTTGCGCATTGATGTCTGCAATGAGCCGGCGGTTGTTGACTCGCGTTGACCGGGATGTCGATTTTGATATTGTTTTAGCGGCGGCAATCCTGGCAGCTTCCGCTGCTGCTGCTTGTGGATCTGCCTTTGCATTCGCTTCACGCTCCTCACGAGCCTTCTGAACCTTGATCCGATGGGGCAGATATTTGGACTTTTCTGCCTCAAGAATCCTTTTGCGACCTTCCGTCCGCGCAGCTCCTGTGGTATTCGGCACATAATAGCCAGGAATACTGATGGCATTCTGGGTTGTGCCAGTTTCGAGACCATTGAGAGCTTTGATCTCCTTCTGTTTCCAACCCCATGCAGCAAGATTTTGAATAATCGATTCTGACTGATCCAGTAGGATTTCTCGCAAAAATCGCAGATCCTCATCATCCTTGACCAGGTGTTGCCAACCATCCAAATCAAGCACCATAGTTTCATCGTCTTCCACCGTAGCCCGGGGCATATCCTTGGAAACGCCCCATTCAATCTCCGTTTTCGGCTCATCAATAGGTTCGGCTTCCCACGTTTCGCTGATGGAAAGATCATCACCATCGGGATGTTTGTGAGAGACAAGCTCAGTGAGCTGGTCTGCGGGTTGATCGTGCGTTGGTAATTTGTCGTCATCCTCTGCGAGATCATCGCCAATGGCCGCCGGTGTTTCCAGGTCTTTAGTCCCATCCTCAAGTCCGGCGGTTTCCGAGTCAATGCCAAATAGCTCATCCTCCTGTCGCTGCCGCTTTCGTGCTTCTTCTTCATCTTCGGTCAGTCGCTTTCTCTTGCTTGACATCGGAGACACCTGAAGTTCATGAGAGAGATCGCTGATTTGATTTGTGGCATCCAAATCGTCCACATCTTCAGCACTGCGTTCTTCGGCCTCTTGAGACGATCCCATGTCGTCTGACTGGTATCCTCCATCGCGTTCAAACTCCGATGTCGTTGAACTTGCGCGACTAGGGGGTCGGCTCTCTCGCTCATCGGCATCCCTAGTAGCAGGGGTGCGCTGCTCGTCGTCCGAATCTTCATCGTCGTGCAACTGCTGTAAGCGATGATACAAGGGCCGGACTTCTTTCTTTCGTAATGGTTGCCTGCGCCGTTCATCTAGGAAGGCAGCACCCGCATGGTCAAGACCATGGGCTTTTCGGATACGAGGAAGAGCAAGGACGTTCAGACTTGATGATCTGAGGGGGTCTCGGCCGGCAGACATTTCACCTCGAGAGCCAGGGGTGCTGTCGATTTGGAAAACAGATCGTTTTGTACCTTCGGGGTCCGAAATACCCAGTTTTTCCCTCTTAGACGCATGTTTACTCGGTTCCAAATAGTCGTAGAGAGCTGGAGCAGCTATGCGTGACTTCACGTCCTCGAGAAGCTTGTCCCTCAGGTCGCGAATGATGATAGACAATACCTCTCGGCATGGATCTAAATCAAGCGCACGCTGCTTTTTCTCTTCTTCGACATCCAACTCGGCCTCTTTCCTTGTCCGATCCTTTTCGGCCTTGTTTCGTTGTTCGGCGCGAAGACGTTCGGGGCTGGGGCTTCGTTCGTAATTTGGGTTCCCGTAGGGCTGGCTCTCCATATTCATGATATAGGTGAACAAGGGTTGCATGTGGCATAGTCGGTAGCAGCGTTCAGTTTCCTCCTCACCCCGGCGTGAGTTCTCGAAGATGATATAGTAGCCAGTTTTGTCGCAACGAATATGCTTGTACGAAAAGAGCCTTAGTCTCTTCCTCAAGTGCGGAACTGTTGTGCTGAGGACCGGGACGTAACAATGCGCAATGAAAATGTATGGATCGCGTTTAATCTGACTCAAGATGGGAGTTTCTTCGACCAATGATTGTACAACAGGCGACCGAAGACCGGCCCTAGGACCTTCTGGAATAACGACCCCCGGCCGTAGGGATGACCTGCCCGAGGGACCCTTTGGCGCAGTCGGTGGTGGTTCGCTTTTCTTGATCTGGAGATCCGGTCTCGGTTCGCTTGCGGGCGGGAGGGTATTCTTGGAAGCCAGTCGCTGGGACTCGACTGCTTTCGCAGCCATTCGATCTGAGACAATGCTGTCGCGGTCCAGCTCGACCCTAATCCTGCGTGTGCCAATCCGTTGTTCTTTTTTGCATTCGAAGTATGCACGCCGGGCTGCGCTAGATGCTGACGCCGGGCCATTTCCCCGGACTGAAGTGCTATCTTTGTATTTGATCGAACAGATCCCCAGAAACCGGCCGGTGATAGGGTCTGTGCGGTTTTTGATTTCGGCCACATCTCCAAAGCTTGCGAAAAGCGCGCTGATCGGGGCGATCGGGGTCAAAGGGTCAAATCCCGTCACCACAACTTGTATTGGGGGCCGGGGCCAATGCTCGTTGCCACGTCGTATGACCATGGCTTCAAATTGTAAGGCGCGGGTCGGTATTTTGTCTTTTGTTTGCAGCCAGATCCACGGGTATAATTGGCAATCGCACGACGCGGATCGGGTGGTGCATCTGCTTGACCATTATTCACGATCTCCACATACTCGGGCTTTTTCCGCTTTTCTTTTGACGAGGTCCGCTTGTCCAAATCGGGGTCGTACACAACCTTGCAGCCTCTCACACGAAGCTCGAGGTGTCGGGTTTGCGACTGAGGGGTCGGAGGGGTGTGGATTGGAGTGATGGAAGATTTGGTGATATCGGGATTCGGCCTGGAAGAAGTACCCGGAGAACCTCCGCCTGCGATCTTTGACTGTGAGGGACTAGTTAATTTGCAAGGGGGTGATGACTCCGCATTGGTGAGCGGTGTCAGTGTATCGATGTGTGATGAGATGGGAATTGCCGTGGGTGGTGGAGGTAGCCCATTCCGATCCTCCACGCTTTTCGCCTTAGCGGGAATGGTCAATTCAAGCTCGTTGGGGACCGATGGAGTGCGAGCTCCCCCTCGTCTGTATCGGGTTTGAGAGGTGTCCCAACGGCCGCGGGTGTGCTCGGGGAAAGAGACACTGGACAATCCGGGGTCCTTTCAGAAATTTGATCACCCTCGACATGTAATTTCCGTCTTTCCTGCGCTGTCTTGAAGCGCTTCTGCTGAAGGACTGATGGGGCGGTGGGGAAAAAGTCTGCAAAGCCAGCCGAGGCGCGTGACATGGTGAGAGGTTGGCTACACGCCAGAGACCGTGGCGCGATCAGAAAGCAGCATCCTTGACCGTGGTGATTCGGCTATTGCGAACACATGCGACCGAGAAGGTCCCGGCACGGCAGAATTGAGGAAATTGAGATGAAGGGGTTTATGCAGGTATGTCGGTTTCAAGGAAGAGATGAGAGAACAAAAGAGATCAGAAGAAAAAGGAGGAGTGGAAAGCGATATCCAGCTGTTGAGTTTGCGGAGGTGCGGTTACGCGCAATTCAAGAGTTTGCAGGAGACTAAGACGCGATCGAGCGGAAGGAAGTGGAATGGTGGGGACGCGGGAGTTGGGAACTTCACGCTTTCAAGGGATATGAACTCCTATAAGGACAGAAAGAAATGGGATCACGGGTGAAGTGGATAGAATGAATATAATTAGGTATGGAGTGGTGAAGTTCAAGTTCAAGTTCCCCGGGACCATTCTGGAGCCCTGGAGTTCACATTGAATGATTCAGCAAGGGTTTTTTTTTTTTTTTTTTTGCCCTGAAAGGGGACCCCAAGTGACCTCACCGCGACTTAACTATTCACCCAATTAACCCCTATAAGGGAGGTACCTAGTAAGTATCTTTTGGGCATTCATTGAGGAAATTAGTTTGATCTTGCAATATTTTTTTTCTTATTGGAGATGATGGTTGATAGTGGCCTTGAGACTGATCTCCTTAATGGACTGTAACACAAAAAATAAACCGCAATCTCCATATATTGAATGGTTGAATCATATACCTAGTCTGATATATACATTCGCTCTATTGCATTTTAGGGACTCTTATGGGTGCCGCTTTATGAGGCTCACGTCCTAGGTACCAAGGGTTATCCAGTCCACATGTGACCCTTATAGACCTACTATACGCATTTGAGTGTATACTCATTCTATTCTTCACCTATATCCCTTACTATTCAGTATCACCAATCGAATCAAGATGCTCAACAGAAGTCAGACGTAAATAGTGATTTGTATTTACTTCTTTTATAACTACAATATGAGGACCTGTGAAAACGACGCCCGACATGGCTCCCCTTTTCAGCCCCATCTAGGTGCCCTCTCTTTTTCGTTTTACCTAGCCGGGCACCTATAAGATGCCTCTTCTCCCCTCGGTCTCTGTGTTCTCAGTTTCTCCCCATTCCCAGCCCCGCAAATTAACCAAATCCTCGCCGTAGTCATTCGATAATGTTTTCCTCCCTGGGGAAGAAATGGTCCCGGAGAAAAGAGCGGTCCTTGAGAAAGAAAAGAACCATGTTAAGTTCGAATTTGAACTTCGGGGATCTCCCCATCGAATTACTGCAAGCAATTGCATCTCACCTACCGCCAGAAGATCTGTGCTCATTTCGGTTGTCTTGTAAGAGCATCTACGAGAACACCATGTACACTTTTCGCTGTACATTTTTCAAAAGGATAGAGACAAACCTGTCCCTCAAAGGCCTTGAAAGGGTGGCAGCCATAGCAAACGATTCAGAGCTAGCACCACATGTTTATTCCCTGGCTGTGAAATATGTCGCCAGGCCAGAAGATAAACTTGGAGAAGGCTTAGCATGGAATCGACATTCCTCCGGCTATTTACTACTGGACGCAGATGTTCAGAAATGGGCCGAGGCCCTGCGCGGTCTAGTGAACTGCACATCATTTCACCTCATTCGGCAGGGCTGGTCTGATAAAGACACCTGTCTCGATCACTTCACATCCACTGATATCATAACACTGATTCTCAATGGTATCGTCAAGGCTCATATCCCCGTCAAAGAATTCCTGGTTGATTTCATACCGGAGCGTCGCGGAGGAGCAAACGAACTCGATTCAAGACGTCTTAATATACCTGATCTTTGGAAGCCAGAGTTCATCGCTGTTTGGGCCAACTTGCAGGTTCTCCTGCTGAACTTTACAATAGAAAAAATTGGCATTGTTGACTGGATTGACCCAATAGTGCGGCATGCAACTGATCTGCGTAAATTGACAATCTTATTCGATGACGGTTGGGCAGCACGCGGACTTATTGAACGCCTTTCTTCCCTCGACACGACTTCGCAGCTGCAGGAACTCACGCTGAAAGGGGTGACCGAACCAAAAACCAACGAAGCGAGCTTAAGCAAACTATTACACAACTATCGGGACAGCCTTCGTGTCCTCGACATAACTCGGATAACACTGGAGAGCTCAGGCTGGAAATCGATACTTAGAATGCTCAGCGAGTTTCCTGTACTCAAAAGCTGCTCATTCAACATCCTGAAAGAAGTTTGCTGCGATATCCAATTTCCGGTTGCGTCCGAAATCCCGACAGTAGACGAGGGCACAGAGTTCACATTCCGCTCTCGAAAGCGAAAAGGCCGAACCTTCAATACCAGGGTCAGCTGCCGGGGACCCAATACAAAAGCTATTATCCGAAGACTTGCCGACTCAATGGAGATAGTCCGTTAAAAGACAATGTCAAAGGATCTAAGATCTTAAATGGTAGTTATGATTAGGTAAATCACACTGATCAATTTGCCAAGCTAGACCGGTTGAAAGAATGAGTAAAATAATTTTTTGTTTAGAAATCAATAGATTGTCTACCTCGTCGCCTCATTACTCTCCCATGCAAATTGTTCATCCTCATACCCAGCCCCCAGCACTTTCAGTCTCCAATTCTTGCTTTTCCACTTTCTTACTACATTAAATTGCTCTTCTTGACCAGAGTGCTTTTTGTTCAATCTTATCAGAACTTTGAGGCTGTCACTCGGTTCAGTTGCCCCCCTCCCGTTTACATCCCCTAGGGAATCAACTAGGATCAGATGGAAACGTGATGTAAGCCCAGCACTATAAACAAATTAGCATCATATCAAACCATTAGCCCTCGGTAAGTTTAACATACAAGTTAGGAATATCAATGTTAAGGACGGAAGTGTCCAAGGCGTTGTCCCTAGGTTCCCTGCCGCATCGGTTAGAACCATCGTGCTGAGCAGTGTAATAGCCAGGCCGACAAGAATATTGGCCCCGATACTAATATACCGCATAAGCGAATATCCATATCTGTGTGATAATAATGTGAGAACGCCAATTATCAAACAGACCAAGCCAACACAGACGCAGAAGTATCCTATAAAAAAAAATTGGTTAGTACTAAAGATGGAAGAAGAAGATTGCAGAATCAACGGCAGTTGTATAATTACCAAAAGTGAGGTTGAAGATTGACACAATCGAGTCTCCGTATCCTGCAAAGTCCGCCTCGGCGATTTCCTTTGGAGGTTCCCATCCGTAGCCTTCAATGACCGTTTTGGTCATTTCCTTTACCACGAGTTGGAATTCTGCCAGCGTCTCCTCTTGCGTGGTATTGGCAGTAGGCTCCAAAAGTGCATGCAAGGACTCTTCAGCCTCGTTAATCACAGCCTCTGTGGAGGGGAATCTCTCATAGATGGTATGGACAGTCTCATTCAGGGTAATGAGCCTATCATGTAGTGAGACCTCTCCTTCGAAAATAGCTGTCAAGTTAAAAAGGTCTCGAACGACATGAGCACACAGTAGAATCTGATTTGTCCCTTCCATCATGAGAGCAAGGGCCAGATGGAAAGGAAAGTGGAGTAAAGACCATATTTGCTGGTTGACGGAACCAAACGGCTCCATGCGGACATTATCGAAATATAGTTGATATACAAGATACTGTCTCAGACATTAGTATAGCTGCTTCATTATCCAGCGGGCTGGGTTCTTACAATAACCAGCACCGCTGATATAATAGAACCAATATCTGCGGAGGTGAATCTGAGGTCAAATGTCTCAATCTTGATAATGGTCTTAGTCAGGCCGATGATGCCCTCGCCGAGCTGTTCAAATCAGCCACTGCTTCCGAGTGTAAACACGGGAATGGGTAACGTACGATGATCAAGGTCAAACAAGTCAGCCTCTCTATGAGATGTGTCCTCTCAAACGACATGGCTTCCCACTGAGCTGCAAGGGTCAAGTTGACCCCGACCTCCATCACAGCAACTACATACCAGCCAATGTATGCGTCGTAAGCTGTACGTCGGTAGAAAGCAAACGATAAACCGAGATAAATGAACACGGCAACAAATAGGGACGCCATCACTGCTATCAATGGCAAACGGGTGGCACGATACCTCCAGGTAAAGAATAGAGTTGACCCATATTGACAGAAGAGAACCACCCGACTCGCCATCAGGATGAGTGACAGCTGCTGCAGAGGTCCCCATCCATCATGTTCCATTAAAAACTCTGGTCCAATGATCGCGAGTCCGACCATAACTCCAAAATGACACGCATGGGCGACACGTTCGATGATGCTGTCTGTAGCGAACCGGACATCATATAAAGTGACTTGAGCCCAAGTGAACCATAAGATGCAGAAGAACCCGATGTAGGAGCTTAGTTCTAAGAGAGAGAGAGAGAGGAATCGAGTTAGCCTATTGACCAAGAGTCCGGAGAGGAGATCTGGGACGGACTTTGTAAACTATTGATCTCATGAGTATTTGTAAAAGAGGTCAAATTTGCAACAAAGAAGAGATCAAAAAAGAGCTGAATGTTGGAGGTTGCTTCATAGTGCTCGAACTGTGGATTGTCAAACAACGTCTCGTCTTGGGTTGTCAGATCGGCCACTTCGTCGACCATTTGACCTTGTCGATCGCTTGCCTTTGACTAAAGCTGGTTAGGGCTCCAAACATCCATTCCAAGTGCACAGTCATATATATAACTTACTAAGGGGCTTCTCCATAGAGGTAAACCACCCATTGCTTTGAACAGAGATATGTGGGATTGACTCCGTATAGTTCCTTGGTTGTTGCATTTTCAAATCCGAATTACATGTATACTTATATTTATTCTATAATGGAAGCTATAGTTAGGAACAATATTCAGACATGTATACTCCGTACTCCTTCCTCTGCGCCATGAAATCTACAAAGAAAATACGACGAGGGTGTTGAACGAGCGAGCCAATGAAAATGCCCAGCAGTCAGCTTTATGAACCCCAGCTCAGCCTCAGACAACAGTTGATCACAGCTGATCTGCCATTGATGTCCCCAAAAAGCTTAGTTGCAAAGCCAAGTGGAAATTTAAGTTTTTAAATCTAAGCCTACGACACGTTCAGGGTTTTACGGGGAATTCCAAATACTACAACTTGGACGGAGTACTCCGTATAATTGACAAATTTCCTCAAGGCTTACTGCGTGTTCCCACTTTCGTCCCTAAGCCTCAGCCGGGTAGCCCTGGAGGTTGCACGGCCCCTCGTCCCCAGTCCCCTTTTCTGGCCCCCGGAAGCCTGCAGGATCCACTCCAAACCCTAAGTTGAGATGGCGGCCCAAGGGTGACAATTGGATTTTCCAATTTGAAGGATCAATAGGATTAACAGGGAAATAGGAGAATAATGTCCAGATCGTTTTCAATCTGATTACGTTTGTACTTCAGGATTGTGCTTACTATATCCTCCTGTTTGTACCGATATTTACATGGACTTCTCCAAGCGTTTACACAGGATCGGCGGCCAAAATCACATCTTAAGATTAGTAGGAGATTTTACATTCCACTATTTCTGCTGTGATCCAATTATAATGATAATTAACTCCTCATTCCCGTCCTATTCTCTCACACTAACCAAGCACCGACAGGCCTAGCTTGCCAATGGCGGACCCTTGTGCTAAGACTGATAATCTCTGCTGTTATTAAAAAAGCCAATCCCCTAAACCAGGACGTCAAATATCCTCCATTGCTCTTGCTTGGCATGACACGATGACTCTTCACGGCATCAGTATCATCAGTATGGCCCTCGCTATGGCCTTAATGATACTTGTGGCAGCGGCCACAACGCCACAATCGACAAACGTCGACATTCTCTTCCCGGCCCTGCACGATATGGACTTTAACAACGTGGAAGGAAGCGTCATGAGCGCTGATGCCACAGCCACCACATATCAGATTGACTGCCGATCTAGCGCGACCAAGCAATGTACCTCTTCCGGTTATCTCTTGCCTCAGACTCTCACTGCCGGTCCGTCCTTCCAGAACTTTCATTACGATGTCACCAGCTTTTGGAACAAAACCATCTTCATCGTTACCGGGACTTTGGACTGCAACATGACCGGGTCGACGCTCGGTGCCTCTTGCTACTTCTCGACCAGCACATGGGTCTCCAGTGGCACGACAAACACCTCCTCGGTATTTACCACGAGCGCCTCCATATCTTCGGCCAACTTAAAATATAATACCTTGGCGGTACCATCGGGCTTGGAGAACCTTCCCGTCGAAACCGCTGCCACGAATGCGTCCCCCGGTCATACCGGGACATCAACATCCAAACCAACGACAACCGCCGCAACGACCTCAGAACATCACTCGTCCTCGAAGGCCTGGATTGCAGGCCCGGTGATTGGCGCCGTGGCTGGCTTGGCTTTGGCTACGGTAGCGGGATTTTGGTTCATCAGTCGCAGGCGTAAGAGCAAGGCTGATTTTGTGCACTGGAGTCCAACAGAAGGGACATCGGAGGCTTCGGGGCATCCCACATATCTGCCAGTGCAGGGTACTCAAGTTTCAGAGCTTTCGAGTACTCAAGTTGGGGAGCTTTCAGCCAAGGGTACACTGGCAGAGTTATCAGCTCCATCCAAGCCCCATGAGATGGGGTGAAGAAATAGTGGTGTCGCATATGCTGATTGTGTATATATTTTTGCTATGCCAACATGATTTACAGTGTTATAATAACGTATAAAAGATTATTCCCAAGATGATGTGAAATTCAATTTGCTGATCATGGACAAGATCTTCAACATGAGTGAATCCCTGTTTTTCATCGTAATAAACCAGAGTTACTTGAACTAATGATGGAGGTTTACCCCGGAAATTGCTTTAAACCAAGTCTACTGGATCTAAGCAATTGTCTATTTAATAATAAGGTTTTTCTAACATCTGACACGATGTCTGACAACGAATTCCCGTGGGCCCAGTTCTCGTCGATACGACGTGTCCGAGTCCGTGCCCCCTTCATGTCGCTACATCCTTTTTTAAGTTGAAAAAAAGAATGACAAATAGGGAATTATATATAGAGCCAGCTGATGTGAGACAATTTAGGAGCTAAAGGCTGTGTACCTGTTACCAGAGGCTCTAATTGCCAAGCAGACCAATAAGCTTAACCGGTAAAGAGGTAAGACAGAAAGGCTTAGCTGGGATTTGACTAAACATGGACATAGTCGGATACTCATATGTCTAATAGGTCATTCGCAGTAAAGGCAAAACAGATGGGACGCCTAATAATACTACTATATGCACATAGTTCCAAGGTTATATATAATTACTGAAAAGGTTGCTCTTTCTTCTTTGGGCAAACGCAAAGACAGCAACTTCCGTTCTCTACATCTTATTACTGCCTAATATGCGTGGGCTTCTACTCACACTTGGCTTCTTGGCCGTTGCTATTGCGACAAAGAATACAAACTGCACCGACGGTCTGTACATGATTGTGGCCAGAGGCAGTGAAGAACAAGCAGCTGCGAGTAAGAGTGGACTATTCCCTGCGAACTCTGGGAGCCCTGGGTATCTGGCAGAGCTTATTGCAGCGCAGATCAAAGACTCCAAGATTATGGGAGTGGAGTACCCTGCAACGCTGAATAACTATATCCCGTCAGAGAATGAGGGGGCGAATGTTATGCTGCAGCTGGCAAATGACTACCATTCGTCCTGCCCGGGTTCAAAAATGGCCCTCTTAGGCTACTCGCAAGTATGTGACAATGGCATCGCGTGAATCACTGTTGAGGATGCTAACCTGATTATTAGGGCGCTCAAGTAGCCTCCGATGTCCTTTGCGGCGGCGCTGGTGGTCAATTCAACCATAATCCACCGCTATCACCAGATATAGTTAAGAACAGTGGTAACTACCCCTAAGATCTCTCGATAATACGTTCAAGCTGACGCATACTCAGTTATTGCGGCCATCTTGTTTGGCGACCCAACGCACATTGCCAACACAACCTATGATCGCGGCACAAGCATTCACAATGGAGTAAGCAGTCACGCCGGTGCTAAACCTAAACCCTAGTATTCTTGGACCAACTGACGTTTCTCGCTCTGTTAATTAGATACTCGCGCGAACGAACAACACCGTGTGCAGGGAGTACAGTGACCGCATGGCATCGTGGTGCGATAAAGGCGATGAGTTTTGTGACGCAGGCCATGTCGATGGGATTCATGAACTCTACCTTCAGAGATACAACACAACTATGGTTCAATATGTGGTGGAAAGATGGCAAAACTCGACAGTTTCGTCTGTTACTACCACGGCCACATCCACAGGCTCCTCCACAATTTCAGGGACAAGTGGTGTGTCGACCAGCACGCAGACAGCCTCGCCCACAACCTCCGGGTCTAGTCGTCCTTCCACTGGCACGGCTTCTCGGCCTACTATACTGGAGTGGCCTCTGATTTTGCTGTTTGGTGGAATCCTTTTTGTTTGAGAAATGGAATGGCGATGGCCGATACTGCAAATAGGCCCAAATGAGCAAGAACCCTTGAAGGATTCCCACGTCCTCGTTATATAGGAACTATTTTCTGAATAACATCTACTCGATCGGACTGATTGGAACGGCGATACTTCCACGTATAGATACTCGGAATAAAACATGCCCTCGCTCGTCAGCAAGTAGGTATTAGGTATTTGCTCCGATTTGTTCACCCGGTCATTTGACTCGTTCCTTTGAGTCTTACTTACGCTTCAGAACCAAGAATATCAAAATATATTATCTTATCTATCAATCAGATGAATCTGTTAAGAACTAGACCGGTTAAAGATAGGGGTTCTTGCCAATCGCTTTGGCGTGTCCCCGTTGGGTGAAAGATACCCGACATCCATCAAATATTTCACGCTACTCTCCAAAGCCAGAACGGTTTCTTTCATGTCGAAGTGACAGTTCTTCGGGATATCGTCTTGGTCCCCCATAAACTGCCATGTATTCTCCTCAAACCATCTCAACATTGGCATGAACGGATGATCAAAGTCTGCCCCTTCGACTTCAGCTTGCAACAGTGCCATCCATTTGTCATGCTCCATCCTTTCAATTGGCAACCCCATAACCCTGCTCAGTGCATCGCAAAATGTGGAGACTCTCACTCCATCGGTACAACGGATTGCTTCTGATGGATACATTTCCGGCTGCAGGAATACATCCGTGATGAGATTGGACACTTGGTCCACACCTGCAACGGTGAAGTAGTGAAGGTCCTCACTGACGGCTTTCAGGCGTATAATTGTGAAGGCAAGTCGCCAAAGGAAATCTTCCGAGTGTGCAATTCCTTCTTTCTGCGACCCAACAATGAATCCTGGAATCACAGTCTGTGCTTTTTGGCTTTTGATATTCTCGCGATTTAGATGTCTGTTGTACTCGGCTAACAGCAACTGAGACATGAACTTTGTTTGGTCATATCCCGATGCCTCGGAGAGCTTTCTGGCAATTTGATTATGACTCTCTGTCTCTGTTGGCATGTATCCACCGGAGACATAGATCAATTTGCAGGGGGAATCCATTTTCGAAAGCCCCGAGAGGATTTCGATGGTGCTATTGATGTTGACTTTCTCGAGCTCTTCATAGCTATCCATCCAGTTAACTCGAGCACCATTGTGAATAATGCAGTCGACGCGTTCGGTACTCTTCCCTGTAAACAGTCGGTGCCATTTGGACTCTTCCAAACCAAGCTTTGATCTGCCTAAATCGCCTGTCCAGACTTCAATGCGATCTTGATAGTCTGGCTGCCACCATCGACCAAGCTCGCCATGCTCTTGGACCTTTTTCCGCGCCTCTCGCTCATCTTTGGCGCGAACAAGTCCAACCACACGCCCGATTTCGGGATTCTCCAAAAGAGAGCGCAAAATTTGGCTGCCGAGGAATCCGGTGATAGATGTCAGGAAGACGGTCGCTGAGCGAGCCTGAATGAAATTGAGCTTCGGCTTCAGTTTCACGAGATCGGCAATCAGATTCCTGGAATCACCGTCTTTTCTTTCCAATTTAATTTTCCCCGCAAGACCGTCTGCAATGTTTGAAACAGTCACATATTTATGCAGGGTCTCGATTTTGAGTTTCTTCTGATATCGTCTCCGGATCATATTCACCAGTGTCACCAATTGCATGGATGTGAGGCCAGTTTTGACAAGCGAAAAGTCTCGTCCCCGTATGTAGGCTGCAAACTCTTCATCTTTGGTCTCTACCATGTCTGCAATCATATTGCTGATCTCTATCGCCATGCCCTTCGTCTTTGGGAGTTGAGGAAACTCGTCACTCAAAGAGCCACCTCTGCGACACTTTCGTATGTCTTTTTGGCTCATCTCTGAGAATTGACGTCGAAGCTTTTGTCGGTCAATCTTCTTAGACAAGGTGTGCGGCAATGCATTGATTTGCACAAAAGCACTCGGGATCATGTATTCAGGTAGAGATTCACGCAGCTGGTCCGATATCTTTTCAGCTAATTCAATTTGCTGATCGCTTGTTTCAATGAATGCAACAATCTCGGAATCGATAGCTTCATGCTCGGATAGAACCACCGCTGAACGCCCAGTCTTAAGGCATGAATTAATCGCGTTTTCAACCTCTCCGAGGTCAACACGCAAACCTCGGATCTTGATATAGCCCGTTTGACGACCCAAAAGAATCACATCGCCAGTTTCATCAAACTTTCCCAGGTCTCCCGTGCGATATACACGAGACCCTTTCATTGGAGGCATGAAGGTAGCCCATTCCAGAGATGACGGATCAAGAAGGGCTTGAGCTTGGCGATCGGGGTCTTTGAGGTACCCAAGTGCGAGGTACGGACTCTGTATGAGTAGTTCTCCTTCCGCGCCGAAAGGCATCAACTTGTGCGGATTGGAAGGGTCCGTGATCCAGCATGCAACATTGCCGATTCCCCGTCCAATATTCTTAGGATTATCACCAGCTTTCATTCCCATTTTCACAGTGTCCCAAACTCCAGCCTCGGTTAGTCCGTACATGTTGTTCAATTGAACGTGTTTGCCCCATGTCGACACAATCTCCGCTGTTGGAGCCTCCCCTCCAAGTCCAAGACTTCGGAGGGTTGGGAGATTTTCTGGCCGGATTTGTGATACCATTGATGGAGTAAGCCAGGCATGTGACACACGCAGATTGTGCATGGTTGATTCGAGGTCACCATTACGCTCTTCCTGGGAGACCATGCAGAGACATCCACCAGCCGCTAGCGGAGCAAACACTTCCAGTATACTGGCATCAAAAGCAAGACTGGCAGACTGCATGAATCGGGTGGAAGTACCAATCTGAAGTTCTTCGATGCATTCGAGAAGACTGAGAGAGACTGCTCCATGGCCGTGAATGACCCCCTTGGGGACTCCTGTGCTGCCAGATGTGAACATGAAGTATGCTGGTCTCGAAAAATCGATATTTATATCTTTCTGCCAGTCTTTTGGGCTCTTGGCGTGCTCAAAATGCTTCGGTGTAATTAAAGTTGCTTTAATGTCTTTGAATTTGTCTAGAAGATTTTCCTGGGTCACCAGATACCGGATATCAGCTCTCTGGACAGTTTGTAGGATCCTTTCCAATGGAGACGACGGGTCCATCGGAGCATATGCAGCGCCTGCTCTCAATATTCCGATCATGATGATAATTGTCGGAATGGATCTGTCCATGCAAAGACCAACAGTGTCTCCGGGATTGACGCCTTGGTTCATCATGACCTGACAAATGGCAGCGGATTGTTTTCCAAGGTCCTCGTATGTGACTCTCTGTGTGGTTGATTCCATCGCAATGCTTTCCGGGCGTAGGGAGCATTGTTTTGCGATGAGTGAATGCAGACATTCTGCACTAACGTTTTGTTTGCGGTTGATGGTGTTGATTTTGCGCAGTCTTTCGATATCGAATGAGGTTACACAGTTTATTTCGTCGACTTTGACAACAGGCATGCACGATAGAGCTTTATGTATACTCTGGAGGCTTTTCAATATGGCGCACGGTTTGAGCTCTGGTCTTTTGAGGCCGTTGCTGTATACATTTGCCATGATGCGATCTTCTGAGATCGCAACAACGAGGAGCAATTCAACCTGGAACGACTGTCAGTTCTACTGTAAGCTAATTCAGATGTAGAAAACACCGCAGACTTCATACCTCAAGTAGGTCAAGTGTCTTGAGTGGAGACTTCATTTGCTCCTTTGACAACACCAAAACAGCCGTCCTCTGTTTTGTGCTAGTGAGGCCTCCCCAATCAGTGGTATCAATCGCATGCGATACCGCATCTTTCAGTTCTTCGCTTGTAATATCACCATCTGTGGAAATTGACAAGCATTGGCTGTGAAGATCTTCAACAGAGACCTTGGGCTTCGAAAAAGCCTCTTTGTGTTGAGGCTGAAGGTAAATGAAAGTAGGCGAATCCGGTGCGTAGTAGTCCCGTAATAGAACCGACCAAGCAGCCAGTATTGCCGCGTCCTTTCTGTCTGATTGAGACGTCATCTCGTCAAGTGCGGCTGCACGGCAAGCTGAAAAAACACGATGATTCTCATCAACTGCCATACAGCGGTGTTCCGTGATAGTCATCGTGAAGGGTTATCAGTAATAGGAAAGCAGGTTGCTGAATTTCAAGATTAAATCAATTTCTGGTGGATTCCCAGTCTGATGATACTCTGCTTTATATAATTTTGTAGCTGTTATCGAATTGATCTTGATTTTCAAAATCTCCAATTTTTATCGCATGACTCCCAGATGAGCCATAGAAGGAAATTTTACTTGATACAGACATATGCATGCAAGCTCCCCATTCCGTTCAATCAAGGGCTATCATGCATGTGGTCCTTTCTAGACGACTTGGATCGTCACTCCTACAGAGGAAAATAAACCCGGCAACTTAGAACATCCCAATCTGCATCATTTCGTAACACAGATCTCCACCCGATGATCCAGGAATTCCTATCATCGTTCTTTTTCGGCTTTTCTTTCGTACCAAAGTCATTTTTTATCGGTGAAGCATACTCACGAGACTCACGAGCCCTTGCACACGATAGCAATTGCACATCATAGCAAACCCCGAGTGATTCAAAGGTTGATCATTGCTATGGCGATCCTGTTCGGACATCATTTTTGTCCAATCGCACTCGGAGTCTTTCGACGTTGACAGGAATTTTGAGTGATCTGCTATTTTTCAACATGTCGCCATACTCCTTGAAGAATTTTGCAGAAAGTATATTCAACAAGCGCTTGATGTGCCCGGTGATCCTCAGATTAATGCTAGAAGCTCTCAAGTTTGCAATTAGTTAATTATGGCGATATACAATCCAATTGACAAACTGGCAATCGAAAACTCTTCGAAACTTGACTTTATATTTGAGCCTCACATGGTGACATTGAACGGTTATAGTCCTTGGAATCATCTGTGGTCAGTCATTCAAATCTTGATTTTCCTGTTCGCTATGCTCATAGTATTGACAGCGCTAATGCTGTGAACTCTGCAAGGAAGTTATTGTAAGGAGCAATCTGATAGTTATCTATAAATACGTCAATCATTGAACACACCGCTGCCATATATTGCTCGATCTCTATGCAGATATTAGAGTAACTCTCCAATCATTATTGCACACTTGATCAGGATTGGGGAATATTGGTCGGGCTCTATATCTGATATCATTTCGCCATACATTCACATCTTGCGTACCTATGTATTCACTGCGAGGTGTGTAATACAACATTCAAAGTTAAAAAATTTAAACTTAACTAAGAACTATGACGGTCTGTCATTGCTCGAGAGCAACTTAGTGGAGTGGGCAGGAGGGAATTTTTCTTCAATGGCGACTTCTTTTGTATCATTGGTCTATAGTGGGAGAATCACCGGTTCCCTTGAATCTGTACGTGGAATTGCTTTGATATAAGTTATGGAAGCAGTACGCATGTCTGGATATCATCCTTGCCATCAATCCAACGCAAAATTACAATCCAAACTGCCATTCATCTACTCAAGATGTCTTCCAACGAGTCCTCTACTCCTCAACATGTAACTACCTCTATACCTGACAAGGGTCTCTCGGCTGAAGCTGTGGGAGAATTTCTACAAAAGCACATGGCAGCAGATATATTTCCCTCCCATGATCTTGGACGGTAAGATCATCAACAGTCTGCTTCCAAATCAATAAGACTGGCTAATATATGCAGATTCACGACAACCAAGTTCGATGAGACTGCCATCAATATCATGGTTGCAGGTAGTCTACGAAACCAACCATGCATTGAGGAGTACCCATCTCTAGCAGAGTTAGTTGATTCCTCTTATAAACTTGTTACCCAGCCACGAAAATATAACTAATGCCATTATCTCAACACAGCTTTCGAGAAAAGTGTGTCTCTATGCTCGCCAATCTTTGGAATGCCCCAAGTGGCTTCTTCGGTGCCGCAATGACAGGGTCATCCGAAGCTGTTCTTCTCGGTGGTCTCACCATGAAACGGCAGTGGCAGCTTCGACACCCTTGTCACTTGAACTCCCGTCCTAATGTTATCATCGGCGCGAATGCACATATTTGTGTCAACAAAGTCGCAAATTACTTCGACGTCGAGGCTAGGATCGTACCTGTTAATGAGAAAAGTGGATATTCATTTGATCTCGAGGGGTTGGAAGATCGCTTAGATGAGAATACAAGCATGAACCCCCATCTCAAGGTCTCATTCTCCTTGTTTATGCTGACTTCTTAACTATAGTTGGTGTTTTCTTGACTCTGGGGTCTACCTACACTGGACATTATGATCCTATTCAACAAGTTTCAAGAGTACTAGACGAGTACGAGCATCAAACAGGGAACAATATCCCCATTCACGTTGACGCTGCAAGTGGTGGCTTTATTGCACCTTTTACTTCCAGCAACACAAATTTTATCTGGTAAACACAAATGTACCCTCCATCTGACTTCAGAGGCTAATGCGGTCTTTTCCTGGTAGGGACTTTCGTCTCCCTCGCGTCCAATCTATCAATGTTTCAGGACACAAGTTCGGCAGGGCACCACTAGCAGTGGGGTGGATAATCTGGCGTGAAAAGTCACATATCCCCCAATGTCTCCTACTCGAGTCTTCCTATCTCCGGGGAACCCAGAGCAATTTCTCGTTGAGTTTCTCGAGATCTGGTGCGCCTATCGCTGGTCAATATTATAATTTTCTTCATTTGGGGCTAGCTGGATATCGTGAGAGAACTCATATCTTGCTCGACCGGGCTTGCCATTTGAGTGTCCGGTTGGAGAGGACGGGGTATTTCTCCTGCTTGAGTGATGCTCATCGGCGACAGATACCAGGTATCTGTCGTGACCACTGTCGGGAGGGTGGTCAGACCACTGCTCCTGTGCTTCCAGTTGTGGTTTTTAGACTTACTGATCATGTCCAACGACTCTATCCGAAGGTTCAACTATCCGATGTGAGTGATGCAATGCATAATTTCAGATTCTCTATCCCAAGTAAGTATCTCTCATTGTTCTATTGGTATGACCTACTCACACGGGATCAGACTACACTCTTCGTGGCTGGGGATATCATGGTGAAGATATCGAAGTCATGAGATTAGTGCTTCGTGATGAAATGACGATGGAGATGATGGAAGAAGTGGTCACAGGCATAACTCAGGCATTTGAAAAGCTATTAGACCAGGCATAGATGGGATAGACGGGCAGTGCAGACTTTGTGCATTATTTTAGTAGAAAGTGTTTGCTTTATAGATCTCACAAGCTATAACAGATGCCATAACTCCTGTTGGGATCACCTGATCCTGTTTGACAGGACTGACAGCTACAAATAGCTTCCTCTCCTTTCTCTTTTTCTTCTTTTCCCTACACAGTGCAGTTAGAAGCTTCAATACAGTTAGATTGCTTGCTCCATCTCCCAGTATCTCAACAATTCCCTTGCACATGCCACCTTTATATAATCTAGTTGATTCACTCAAAGCAATGTATAATGGGCCAAAAAAAGAGGTAGAAACCCTAAAAGCCCACATGTCACCGTTAATGAACCGAGCTTGAGTAATGCAATGCTGGCTATATAGCTGGTATCATGAAATATAAACAACTGCCCGTACACCGCACAGATCTTTCCAGGCTTCCCATGGTGATTGAGATAGCCAAAATGACCTTGTGGCAGGTGAGGCTGAGCTTTCATAGGCGGTCGTTTACAAATCGTTTGTCCTTTTTGTTGCCATAGGTGCCTTAGAATTTCACGGGCTCAAAAATGATGTGTACGTTTATCTTCATCCCTCCTTATCCTCCCATCCCATCCCATCCCATCCTATCATCCACTAACCGAGAGATATCATTATACAGATGCACAAGTGGGACGATAATGGCAATTTCATCGGTCTTGGTATCTTGCTTAAGTTTACATTTGAATAGTTGGGTTCGGTTCATTCTTGTTCAGATGATGGCAGCCTGGTGATATCTCAGATATTAACATTCGTATCTTCTATTAGGGGCTATGTCATGACTGTCTCTGATGTGTTTCTGTTTCATCCCCAAACCAAAACCGGAGAACGGATATTCCACAATCATTATGATTGAATAGTAGAGTGGATTTTCCATCTATTGATTGTCGAAGATCAAAACAAAGCTTCACAGCTGGGGTGGACCGCTCGCGTGGTTCTTCGATTAAATCCTGTACTGTGTCTGGTGACCCTTCAGTGCCGGAATCGTTGCCATCCAGTTCATCTACTACGCCTCTTCTCCGATCGAGGAGTCCACCAGACCCAGCATCGGGGAAAATATCAAGGATACGTGAGGCTTTGTCCACAAGAGCTTCAAGCTCCTCGAAACAGCGATGCTGGTACCGCTTAAATACCATCCGCTGTTGAGGCGTGCAACCCGGGGCCTTACATGCATACCCCAAGAATTCCAAGACTGCGTATGAGAGGCGCATGCGGAAGTTGCTTTGGATGACATGGACACCGACATAACACGGGTATGTGTGCTTCGGCCGAGCGTATGGCGTCATTGGGTGATCTATCACACAGCTTGCAATTGCCTCGTCGTGGGATAAGGGATAGATCATTTGCTCCACTTCATCCATCTCTTGGAGGATGGACGGTGAGCTGGATAGCACCTTGTCGAGGTCACCTGTATCAACTAGGGCGCGAACGTGGCTGCAGATGCGGGCACAGTGGTGCGAGAAAATACATGCCCTGAGTATTGGATATTCTGATAGTTCGCAATATTTACGGTACTCAAGGAACCATGTCAATGCCTCTTCACATCCTTGGCCAGACATGAATGCTTGGGTTTCCTGAAATGCTGCTGTTAGCCATGAAGACAATATGTGGACGGCTAACTTACCACGTTAGTAAATATAATGACAAAAAGATTCCGTCCGCTCCGGGTAGTAAACTGCTCCGACCCACGCAGGCGAATCAATTTTGACAATACTTGGTTGTGGAATTGCCATCCAGGAGTCGCGACCGGCTCGGTGCCCTTTCGTATTCCCAAGAGGAGCTTAATTAAAATGTCAGCAGAGTTGGGACTCGCCAATGAATACATCAAATCTTGCCTCATATAGTCCTAGCAGCCATACAGCTAGTAATGTATTGTCGCTTTTGCATCGCTGAGGATCCTGGATGGCTGAACGAGTGGCCATGAGCGCAGATCCATATGCTTTGGCTCGATCCGAAGTTGCCTTCGAAGTCCGGGTAATGGTGGCCATATAAGCGCGTGCGACGGCATTGCAGGCCTGATACAAAGCAGACTTCTCCTCTGCTTTGGAAAGGACATCGGGAATAACACTGAATATGGTTTTGGACATTTCAAATGCGAGCTTAAACTTATTTATGACGAAGGGCATGAAGTGGGTATTCCACGATTCAGCCAGGGGGTATATTAGGGGGGAAGTTTGTTCAGACCGTAGTCGAACTTCATCAGTTTGCTCTGAGATATGCGTATATGGGACTGTTACTTCGTCCAAAGGGTATCCCCCAAACAAAGGGGATAGACTTCCAGGACTGGCGAGATCGGACTATTCAGTGTGATTATAGCATCCAGGGTCGTTTTATGTGAACTACTCACGTTAACAAGTTGCTTTCGACACGAATCATTGTCGTGGGAAACTTTTACTGCAAAAGGTGGATAGGGATATCCATCACATTTTCGACCTGTAGAAATGCATCGCCTACACTGGGGCTTTTCTTCATCGCATTTGACTCTGCGAATTCTGTAAAGTAGTCAGCGAGTGCTTCTGGTATTTGAAAAGGAGAGCTTACTTGCAGGTCATACACCCAGACTTTAGCTTAGGTGCCCACCTCCTCCGACGAGCAAACAACTGTGATTTCTCGACACTTGTCATCGCAGCTCTGTTCAAGGACTCTTGACAGATAACAAGCACTCAGTCCAAGCTTCCGACTTGTGGTGGCTGTGGGGAATGCCGGGGATCTAGTGGGAGGCGGTGGGGCAGCCTACGAGATCACTTGGGAGCCTAAATAATGACTGTGAGTGGCTATATATTGATCACATGAAAAAGTTCATGGCCATTTTAGAACTATAAGTTACAGATAAGGCTTGGCGATATCTTATGTTATGCCTACATATGTAGCAGTATGTACTCTGTACCAGATTCTAATTTCACAGCACAAGGGGGGTTACTCGGTACTCCAGGGCTCAGGGGTATGCTTAGTAATGCTGGTGTTATGCCCCTGGAGGTGCTCCGCGAGCGCTCAGGCGTGCTCGGGGAACACTCAGGGTATGCTCAGTGGGCACGACTCAAGTGCTCACCGAGTACTCCGACAGCGCTTGGTGAGCGCACAGACTTGTTCACTCCACGACCTGAACATAAAGGCAGCGAGGTAACGTATTTCACAAGCGAGTGGCCACCCCAACCCCATATCTGCGTTTTCCCCATATGCGCAATTCTACCAAGTTTTGACTTGGTCGGAGTTTTTCACATCGTCGTGCAGTAAAGATCAATCTGACCTTGTCATATTCATTTTTGCAGGGTTGGGACACGTCAAGTGCAGAAACAAAGCATTAACTTTCTGAAAGGCCAACCCAACACGCACCACTGCCACAGCCTCCAATGCAATCTGTATCCCACATACTGGTCGATATTCTGTTGATGCACTATAGCCTTGGAACCATGGCTCCTCACGTACACGGTCACCCGTTTCCGTGCATTCAAGTGGTAGCTTTCTGTCTAGGCTTGTAATGAGCTGATGATCGGATATATCAGCACAAGAGCTTCGGTACAGCGAATAATGGTGGAGGGGACTTCCTTTCAATCCACAGAGCTTCGCCCCATCATTGTTAAATTCTGACTCATAGGCACAATATAGAACCATATCAGCGATTGTTTCCTTTTGTTTGACTGCAAATTCAACATTGTGGGTTAGAGACGTCAGGATATCATAGTGGGCAGCGGTTGTGCCGACTAGTTCCATAGATCCATCGCTGAAATGGAAGACGAATCCCTTGACAAATCGCTCAGAAGGCTCAATAGCATCGACATCACCATATGCTTGCGCCCGAGAAAGCCCCCCCTGGACAGATCGACAAAATGGACTGGAGGTTCTAACACGCGTGGAAAGGGGTTCGTGAAAAGGGGATAAACTTAGCTAGTGCCATTCCGGCGCTTTTCAAGATAGTTCTGATATAGCAAAAGCACTCTTCGGAAGGTGGGAGGTCCGCTCTCTCGGCTTTCAGCTTTTCCACAGCCGCTTGCATGCGTGCCAGAAATACCTCCATTGATAGAATAATGCTGGAATCGCCAGACTGACGGGGAAGTATAGGGGGAAACAATGTGGCGCGGAGGAAGATAATGGATATAGTGCCAAATTTACTTGGTAGTTTCTGCCTTATAGGGGGAGGGGAAAAGGAAGTGAAATTTGAGGAGGATAAAGATGACGATAAACATTTCCTTCAGCGTCGGATCATATATGACTAGGTGATAGAAGTCCGAAGAGATCTTCTGATGAAGCCATAGTGTCCTCAAGCCGACTGCAAGACTACGAGCTATACGGATACGCAGACGTGAAACAACCAGGATGGCCACATTAATGATGCCAGTCCTTTAAGGGGTTTCTTTAAGGGGACAACGGCCAGAGTGTTAGTGACAGACTTATATGGATAGTGTTGTAGAGTACAGCATTTTCTCTGCTCAAGTCATGCGCAAATCCATTCTTCCATTGATCCATGGGTTGGATCAGGCCTACGTAATTATGGAGCCGGGGGCGGGTCCGGTGCTTAGGTAACACTCAGGGGTGTCCACGGGTGCTCAGTTTTGCCTTACCGAAAGAAAAAAAAAAAAAAGCGGCAAGGGGTGAGTACCAAAGGGGAAAGGGAAAGCCATCTCAGCTCGAAATATATCTACGGAGTATGTGCAATTCAGACAGTGTATTCGAGCTTACTGGTTATAACTCAGCCCTTGCCCTGCCTCTTTCCCCTCCTCCTATCGAAGGGTGGTATGAGGCTGATATAGAGAGAGATTAACCATATATCTCAGATTATCCACATCATAGGTAACCTATGATGAGGCGTATAATAAAGTAGCGTAGTGGGTAGTCCCTCTCAGCCTCCGTACTTTGGGTATGACATCCAAAGAGAAAATATATTTCCGGAGACAATTCATTGAGGACCAATAGTATAGGTATGCAGTCGGTGATACCGAGTCCAGGGGTATCATAAAATAGTTAAATGGCTAAAATAGTAACTGCAAAGGCGTGGAACGTCTGTCGAACCTTTTCCAAGGTTCCTTTTTTTGCCAGGGGATCCTCCCACTAAGGAATGTGCCGGGCCACTAAGAGATATAATTATAGAAATTTTCCCCGTATGTTTTTTTTTTGGACATCTCTCTAAAAAGCTCAGCCACTTTTTTTTGACTCGCCTGGTAGCTCCGATTTAGCGTGGATATATTGGTCCAAAAGAGAAAACTGACGAAGATCAGACCAATATAGAAATCACTGGGCAACTTCAGTACCTGGGCAACCAGGTGCTCCGTACTGAAGTTGCCAAGAAAGGGAAGAAAATAAAAATGTTACTATTTGTTTACTCCGTACTATTATTGACAACTATGTAGATACTATTTACTTACAACAGCATTGTTCAAATTTTTATTTATTTATGTCTTAACTCAAGTAGGAAGTAAGAAAAAAACAAGAATGATAGAATCTAATATAGAATCTAATATAGGATAATATAGAATAATACGTGTGCCAAGTGAGACATACGATTCCCCTGGGAACCAAAATTGGTCCGAGCACTCCCCTCATTGGACCAAAGCTTGCACAAAGTGCAAGAGCTAATAATAATCCGCCCCTCCCCCTACCTTCTCTGTTCTTGCCCCCCCTCTATAAATACGAAACACCTGTGCCTTCCTTGTCCCCTTTCTATCTTTTCTCCTCTCTCGCTGCTTTCGTTTAATCTTTACAATCCTCTACAATCTTTATTCTCTCAATACCCTTGTTTTTGCATTCAATTTTTCTTTATTGCCCATCATGTGGTAAGCTCTTGTCGACATTCATTTCCTCAATCGTCAAATACTAACATTTGGCTTAGTGGAATCTTCGGTTACATCAACTACCTCGTGGAGAAGGACCGCAGGTTCATCATTGACACACTGCTTAATGGTAAGCAACCACAAAAAATTGGATGGTTTTAACCTTGCGCTCACCGTCATTTCCCAGGCCTCTCCCGATTGGAGTACCGTGGCTACGACTCGGCTGGTATGGCCGTAGACGGCAACAAGAAGAATGAAGTCTGTGCATTCAAAGAGGTTGGCAAGGTGGCCAAGTTGAAGGAACTCATCGAGCAGAGCTCATATGACATGACCAAGACTTTCGAGTCTCATGCTGGTATCTCTCACACCCGTTGGGCTACTCACGGTACCCCCTCCCGCCAGAACTGCCACCCCCACCGGTAAGTCCCCCAAAGTCGACAGAAAAATTCATTCCCCCGGATAATTGAGAAGTTGAGAAGCTAATTGGATTGTTGTCGAATAGCTCCGATGCCGACTGGGAGTTCGCCGTGGTCCACAATGGTATCATCACCAACTATAAGGAATTGAAGGCTCTGCTGGAGAGCAAGGGTTTCCGCTTCGAGACTGAGACCGATACCGAGTGCATCGCCAAGCTCGCCAAGTACCTATACGACCAACACCCCGATATCGAATTCACAGTCCTGGCCAAGGCAGTCATCAAAGAGCTTGAGGGTGCCTTTGGTTTGCTGCTCAAGTCCGTCCACTACCCCCACGAGGTCATTGCGGCCCGCAAGGGTTCCCCCTCGTCATCGGTGTGAAGACCTCCAAGAAGATGAAGGTGGATTTCGTCGATGTTGAATACTCGGAAGAAGGTGTCCTTTCCGCGGAGCAGGCCTCCCAGAATGCGGCTGCCAAGAAGTCTGCCACAAGCCTCCTTGCCCCTCCCGACAAGTCTCTGTTGCACCGCTCTCAGTCGCGGGCCTTCCTGTCTGACGATGGCATCCCCCAGCCCGTCGAGTTCTTCCTGTCTTCCGACCCATCTGCCATTGTGGAGCACACCAAGAAGGTGCTCTACCTGGAGGATGACGATATTGCCCACATCCACGAGGGACAGCTTAACATCCACCGTCTGACCAAGGATGATGGCACCTCCAACGTCCGTGCCATCCAGACCATCGAACTTGAGTTGCAGGAGATCATGAAGGGCAAGTTCGATCACTTCATGCAGAAGGAGATCTTCGAGCAGCCCGAGTCTGTCGTCAACACTATGAGAGGTCGTCTGGATGTGGCCAACAAGAAGGTCACCCTCGGTGGTCTCCGTCAGTACATCTCAACTATCCGTCGCTGCCGCCGAATCATCTTCATTGCCTGTGGTACCAGTTACCACTCATGCATGGCTGTGCGTGGTATCTTCGAAGAGCTCACTGAGATTCCTATCGCAGTCGAGCTCGCCTCCGACTTCCTTGACCGACAGGCCCCAGTGTTCCGTGATGACACCTGTGTGTTTGTCTCTCAGTCTGGAGAGACCGCTGATTCCCTGATGGCTCTTCGCTACTGTCTGGAACGTGGTGCCCTGACCGTTGGTTGTGTCAACGTTGTCGGATCTTCCATCTCTCTCCTCACCCACTGCGGTGTTCACATTAACGCTGGTCCCGAGATCGGTGTCGCCTCCACCAAGGCATACACCTCTCAGTTTGTGGCCATGGTCATGTTCGCTTTGTCGCTGAGTGAGGATCGTGCCTCTAAGCAGGAGAGACGTGAGGAGATCATGGAGGGTCTTGGACAGATCTCCGAGCAGTTCAAGCAGATCTTGAAGCTCAATGATCCGATCAAGGACCTGTGCGCCAAGTTCTTCAAGGACCAGAAGAGCTTGCTGCTGTTGGGCCGTGGTGCTCAATTCCCCACTGCCCTTGAGGGTGCCCTGAAGATCAAAGAAATCTCATACCTCCACTGCGAAGCCGTCATGTCCGGCGAATTGAAGCACGGTGTTTTGGCTCTTGTTGACGAGAACCTCCCCATTATTATGATTCTTACCCGTGACAACCTGTTCACCAAGTCCCTGAACGCCTACCAGCAAGTCATTGCTCGTGGTGGTCGCCCCATTGTTATCTGCAACCAGGATGACCCCGAGTTCTCCTCCGCCCTGACCGAGAAGATCAACGTGCCCAAGACCGTGGATTGTCTCCAGGGTCTGCTCAATGTGATCCCATTGCAGCTTATCTCTTACTGGCTTGCCGTTGGCGAGGGACTGAATGTTGATTTCCCTCGCAACCTGGCCAAGTCGGTCACTGTCGAGTAAATGTTTCTTTAGGGCAAGGTTAGACGATTCTTATGATCCGGTCATCTTTTTATCTTTAGGTGTTTTCAGCTTCGGGACAATGCAATCTCGTTTTGTTTTTTTTTATCGCCATGTTCTAGGCCTATTGCATAATAGTATTGTTTTGCCATAAAGAATGTGTGTCTACATATATATAGTAGCTTGTATAAATGTCATTGGGTCCAGTTGCGCGCAATTGCCGTGGGTGATGACATTCCGCCTTCCCCCGCCAAATGCGGGACCGAGGGATTTCGCCCCTCAAGCTCTTCTGATTTCATAAACACTTGTGTCAAGCTCAATTCTCTCAATCCCAAGGAAACAACATCTTCTCTCTTTCATTAAACTAACCGTCACTCCCCAAAAATGACTACTATCAAAGGCCCCGGCGCTGCCCAGACCCACGATGGTAAAACCGAACAACAGCCCTTGGAGAGAACCCCCCAGCTAACAACGACTCTACAATAGGCTCTGGACTCCGCGTTGCAATTGTGCACGCCAGATGGAACACAGTGATCATCGAACAACTGGTATCAGGCGCGAAGAAGAACCTCCTCGCAGCCGGCGTCCTGGAGGAGAACATCACAGTCCAGACAGTTCCCGGTAGCTACGAGCTGCCCCTCGCAGTGCAACGGTGAGTGCGGGGATGATATCACACACATGATACACTCACTATCCATATCACATGCTGCATACTCTATATAATGTATACTGTATCTACCGCGATAGCTTTAACTAACACTACATTTCCAGCCTCTACGCCGCCTCCCAGCTCCAGGCCAACTCCTCTGTCCAGGGAATCAGCGCCACTGACCTCCTAGCATCCCCAACTGCTGAGGTGGCGGGCTCTGGTAATTCTACAAGCCCCAAGAAGCCCTTCGATGCTATTATCGCCATCGGTGTTCTCATCAAGGGCGCTACTATGCACTTCGAATATATTGCCGACGCTGTCAGCCATGGTCTCATGCGCGTCCAGCTTGACTCTGGTGTTCCTGTTATCTTCGGTTTGCTTACCGTTCTCACGGAAGAGCAGGGTTTGGAGCGGGCTGGTCTTGGTAGCAGTGGCATGCACAACCACGGTGAGGACTGGGGTAGTGCTGCTGTTGAATTGGGTCTTAAGAGGAGGGAGTGGGCTGAGGGCAAGATTTTGTAATTCTTGCGATAGATTGGCACATTTCTATTGGATCTTTCGGGGGTTGAGGGCTACGATGGAACCCTCTAACATATGTGATGTGGATTTTTGGAGCCTTTGGAAACAACTTGGTCATTTATGGTAGATTGTTTTTCGTTGGAGTAAGAAAGGAAACATCTTCAGAGAACCATAATTCTTTGGGAGCATAATCTATTACATGTTCACTCTTCCATCTGTTCACCTTGACCCTTGTCCTCCTCTTCTTCATCGTCCCCTTCCAGGGCCCGCTTTGCTGCTTTCTCTGCTTCCTCGAGGAGCTCCTTGGGAACTTCCTCGTGGCGACCCTTGGTCGGTCCATCAACCGAGCTGATCCACGTCATCTCGAGCTCGAAGTCCTTGTCCTTGCTATCCTCATGGGCAACATAGATAATGCGGGCAGCTTCCTTCACACCATCTGCCAAAGACAGATTGCCGGAGGACAGGTCTAGTTTCTCGAGTTCAGCCTTGGCGGCCTGTCGTCCTTTACCAGTAGCAGCACCGTAGTAGCCCTACAAAATCTCGTCAGCATATCCATCCACTTACTCACAAACAAGCAAGTCGCAACTTACCCAATACAATCCACTAGGCTCGACCATGTATAGACCAGGGCCACCGGCCTTGGCACCCTCGACCTTACCACCGGAGCCAGACTTGGGTCCATCACCGACCTGTCCATCAACCGGAAGCTCCGCCTCGGTATCCCACCCGCCAACAATAGCAGTTACACCGAAGGGCCGTACGCTAGAGTAGAGCGTGTACGCCTGCACATATCCACCCAAGCGATTAGCCAGCGCAGCGATCGGGATAGGACCTTTGTATGTGCCTCTCCAGGAGGAAGCCTCATCTCTAGCTCTGGAAACGAAGTGACGACCGTCGGGGACGAGTCCAGCGGATACCTGCATTGGTAGAAAGAGAGCGGGTTAGCAACAGGGTATTTCCAAGCCTTCCGTGGTATATCATGGTTTCGATGAAAACGCATTTGGGAAAAGGGCGATATAGGCAAAGGATAAAACGGAGCGGGGTCTCACAATTCCGACATGACGATCGACTGTTGCGATTCTCTTGTTCGCGCCTGGCTTTAGGAGCTTGCTAGTGATGATCTTCTCCACTGCCAACACTACACCATCCTTGCATCTGATGCCGACGGCGGTGCCTCCGTTCTCAACTGCCTTGACGGCATACTCGACCTAGATGGTATGGTCAGCAGCTTGAAGCTGGGTTCCGTGGCTCATTGAGCTGGGTTGTGTTTGGTTACCTGGAAATTCCGGCCGTCTGGCGAGAACACCGAGTTGGAGAGATCGTATCCTGTGCCGATTGACGTCTGAATAATCGCCCTGTTAGCTTGATTGGGATACAATATAGCATATTGCGTAGATCCGAAGCTGACTGACCATGATTTTGGTGAGAATGCAATGCGGTGAGGTTTAAGAACAACAGACGTCACCGAGGGTAGGTCGGGCGATCGAGAGAGTTTATCTGTATATTGGACAGATAAGGAAGGAGAATGGTCGGTTTGGAGGGTGATTATGGATAGGTAGGGTGAGGTTGGAAGCTCTGGGGATGATAACGGAGGTTCCTAGGCACTAAGCAGTGACGCTGTCGCGTCACGGGGTTGCCTGAGAGCTTCCAGTCACATGACCATGAGATACCTAATTAGTACTTTCGTTTGTATGTCTGTTCTCCAGGATTTGTAAGTACTGCTTGAGTACCTTGTAGTATTTTGTATATTCTTGACAGATCATAGGCACAATATGGGCATATATGGGTTTGTTATGGTATATTATAGTCATAATATGCAGTATAACATTTGAGCGTCTCTAGTGGCCCCTCAGACTTCAGCCCAACCGAGCAACTTGGGCATCTTTGCCCCTCGATCTAAACAAAAGACACTCGCAAAATCCTTTCTTGTATCCAGTTTTACAGGGAACAAACATTTGAATCGAACTTCGACATTTTCCTATTCATTCAGACATAGTTGAACTATACAGAAATCCACCCCGCCATGTCTTCCTCGATACTGCATCAGTGCCCGCACTGCGGGCACGCCTCCGACATCTCAAATGCACTCGCAGCCTTTATCGAAAACCCTCACTGTAAACAGGTAGATTGTGTTCGTTCTTATCTTATTATACCAAGGAACCTGACCAGGCGGATATATATATTTAGTGCGGGATGTCTGCTTCGGAAAGCAACTCGAAAATGCAAGACGAACTTTCCGCTCTGTTTGATAGACAAATGAGTATGACACAGTTGCATCCCGCCCCTAGAGAAACCATCGTACCACAAACGCCAGAAATTGCATACAGCATTACCCAACACTACCACCACTCGGCCCACAGACTCGCCCAGCACACAGAGCAACCTTCAAGCATTGATGTTCTGCGACATCACGGTCTTGACCCAAATGCCCTTACTCCGGATCAGCTTGCGCTCTTCCAAAACGCCGATGCAGAACAGAAACAACGGTTAATCCAAACATGGCAGCTCTACTCGCAGTTTGGAAATGAAACCAATGCCTCTGCGGGCGACTTTGCTATGCATGATTCTGTTATGGACGACAGTGCGGATGGAAATGCCTATGCTGATGCTGAACCATACATGGTATCTGGCTACCAGAACATTGCCAATCAAGCCTCTCATCTCCCGAAAGAGCCCACCACTGGTGAAACCTATGTTCGCTCAAAGGACCCGGTGTATCAAGGTCAGCAATGGTGGGAGCTGACAAAAGCTGGTCCGATGGAATCAACCTATGGTGCCTTTGAAGAAATGAGACGATATTACCCTAGCTGTGGTGTATACCACCATTAGTTCTGTCATAAATAGATCTAGTGAAACGAATCCCTTCTGTATATATGTTCATATCATTGTTGTCATTGTCACCCCTTCACCTCTATATGCTATATGCCCTGACTAGTGTAAAGGAAGCATATCAACTAGATAATAAAAGCTCCTTCGGCCTACTAAGGTAAATCTACCGAGTTTATTGACCACCTAAGCTGTTTGGAACATCCTATCTTTTAGGTTTCTGAATTGAAATGGTGTGTGAAAAGGGGATGGAATTCTTTGATTCTAGATACATATTTCTTTGGGTAATCCATCAACCTCCACAATTCAAATGCTGATTTAATCAGAAACCAATTCCCAGGTGCCATGACCAACGGTGAAGATAAAAGAGTGTTCGCCATCGGCATTTTCATAAAGCATAAACCAATCCAGCACATGCCAACTGGGCTTCCATAAGTGCTTTCATGTCGAAAAAGTAGTCGATGGTGTGCATATTGGTATTTGGAAAGAGAGCTAGGAGCAATTTCAGTCGATAAATGCAGAACCATGGAATTCAAAGTAAAGGAGACACTGGGAAAAGTTAGTCAATTGATTCTCTGGATATAATAGATGAAATTGTAGCATACCTTTACTCCTCATCCTCTTCCTCGAGAGCAGCCATGGCGGCAGCGAGAGCATCACTGGTACGCTTGACCTCATCGGCAGCATCTGCGGCACGCTTGGCCTTGTAGCAACCCTGGCCAATGTGGCCACACCACTTCTGAAGGACAAGGGGCAAGTTCTTGGCCATAGCCTCGGCGAGAGCATCGGCAGAGCGCTTGACATCAACGGAGGCATCGGCAGTTCGCTTACAGCCCTGGCCGACGTGACCACACCACTTGGGGAGAGTGGTGCTGGGACCAGTAGCGGCGGCCTGGACGGTGGCAGCGGCCATAACGGTGACGACAACGGTGGTGAACTTCATCTTGATTGTTCGAAGGAGAAACCGGGGGTTTGAAATTTGCAAGTTGGTTTTGAAGAGCGAAAGACAGATACTGAGAAAGCTCGATGATGGAGATGCCTGGAGAAAAGAACGAGAAGACGAATTGCAATGAAGTTTATATATTTGTAAAGATCAGGTAGCATTGCTGGTTCAATAGTAGTCTCGTTATTGAGAAGAGCATGTTGGCCTTGAGTTCGAAAAACTCGGTTACTCTGAATAGAGGCATGTTATGTTCCTCAATAGAGTTCTTCGTGGACGGATATTAGCTCGAATAGAGGTACTGTTTGGGGTCGCCCGTTCTGAATAGGGTTCTTATTGACGGATCTTCAATAATGACCTCAGGTCTCGTATGGAGAGGGTCTAGGGCAAGCCATGACCTCGAATGCTTTGACAGACAAATCGGATAATAAGCCAAGTGTCTTTGGGACTAGAGTATATTTGTTAACGATGGAGATATCTTTTGTTTGAGTTGACCACTGATCTGGGGGATGTGACATTTGAGGACCAGAAGAGGATATGAATAAGAATTGACGAAAGAGATTTTAGTTTTCGATGGGTTAATGAATAAAGATGTAGTTTCATTGTTATATTGTTTGTAGTAACTAAGTACCTAAGTATGGAGTACTTGGGTAGTGATCCTATTGAGATAAGATCGGGCCGGCGCTAACCACAAGTTGCTGGATGCCGAGCCCATCCGGAGCCTTTTTTTCCCGTTTTCATTCCCTTTTCCAACCCCCTCTCCTTTGGTGTTTCGAGATTCTTGCCCAATTTCTTTGTTTAACCCTCAATCATTTGAAAATGTTCTCTAGAACGGCACAGCCTGCACGGGTATGTTTTCCTCCCCCATTTTTGCTTTTTCCACCTTTCCGTGTTTCCGTGTTTCCGCGATTGCAATCCTTTCCCCAGGGTAGTTGGGGGCTTTGGCTAACCTGTCCTTGCTCTCTATAGACTCTGCTCCGCAGCGCCTCCGGAGCTTCGTCTCTCGGTCGCTCTATTCCCGCCAGAAGTACGCCCATCAATCTTATCGACGTGCCTCGAAGTCCCCGCTAACGAATTTGCGCAGCCTTCGCCAGTGTTCAGTCGGACATCTTCAAGCCCACCAAGTATGGTGGCAAGTACACCGTCACCCTCATCCCTGGTATGACACACACATTTTTGCGCATTTTCTGCTTGTATCGCGCATGTTCTGGACTAACGCTCGACAAGGTGACGGTAT